CGGGGGGGCTGCGGCGAAGGGCGGGGGCGGGGCGGGGGGGGGGGCGCGGCCGCCCGGCGCCAGCTCCGAGCTCCGCGCTGCCTTCGGGCCCTGGAGGAGGACAGGAGGGTGAGAGAGCCAAACGCCAGCAATGGCACCTGGCGGCGATGCCGCCACCCGGCTGCTGTCGCGATACGCCTGTGACACCCGCTGCTGCCCCGCGCCCGGCGGCGCTGGGAAAGCAATGCCCAAGTGACCCCCCAGTGAAGACAGGAGCAAAGTTAGGTGTGAGGAGCTGCCGCCAAGGGCCATGATGGGAACAAACCTTATTAAAGCTAAAAATTGTGCGTTTTGTTTTTTTTTTTTTTCCCTATTTCACAGAATCACAGAATGGGTCAGGTTGGAAGGGACCACAGTGGGTTACCTGGTCCAACCTCCCTGCTCAAGCATCCCAGAGCACATGGCACAGGACTGCATCCAGACGGTTCTTGAATATCTCCATGAGGGAGACTCCACAATGCCTCTGGACAACCTGTTCCAGTGTTCAGTCACCCTCACAGTAAAGAAGTTCTTCCCCACATTCAGGTGGAACTTCCTGTGCATTGCTTTCTGCCCACCGAAATCTGTATTTACAATACAGATACACTCTTTATTTTAATAGAATCACACCAGACACAGGCTTTGTTGCGTTAGTTGCGTCCGACTGGACTTGGGGAGCAAGTATTCTGTGAGGTCTCACTGCTGGCACCACTACTGCTAGTTTCCAGTCCACTTGGGGACTGGAAGCTAGCAGTTCCCTGGTTTCTTTCAGGATCACTCAAAGAACAATTAAGTCACTCACACCTTTTCTGTTTTCGAGTTGAAACAGCTGCTCAAGTAACCCTCCCGGATGAGGTCTTAAAAAAGAGATTTAAGCTAAAGTAAATGCTATAGGGAGACCCTTTATATAGACTCCCTTATAGAGAAGAATGAGGAAGGGAAGGCAAAGGCATATACTTACAGGATTGACATGATTTTACTTCCTTGCTTAATAACAGCTTGGTGTCTTCTTTCCACCTAAACACTTCTCTATTCAAAGAAATTATTACCTGGCTCAGTATCACGCTTGCTTCTCTCAGTGCCTGCTGGTTTGTTGTTTGTGAAGATGTGATTTGCCCTTGGAGTTGAGGACTGGGTACAAGCTGCTGCTGAGAAATGGCCTCTGACCTCTGCTGTAGCTGTTGTGGGTCCAGCTGCTGAGTATTGCTAAAGCTCAGGGACACTGTTGGCTGCTGTAAGAACATCTGGAAAAGAAGAGGGGAGGGTTTTTTTACATAGCCCAGCTGTCTTGAATAATGAAAGTGACAGAATTAAATCCAGAAATATATTATAAAATAAAGTTAGCACATTTCTGGATTCATTATGCATTTACTGTTAGTTGGAAATCGCCTCTCATTCCTACATTAGCGGTTTTGCTGTCTAGTTTCTTCATTTCTTGTTCTGCAAGTGCACCCATTACTAGTGAAATGCATCCTGAAGGTAAAAGTTCTCTCTCCATGGGGCAGGCACAGCCCTCATAAGAGCAGTTCCCAGTACATTCACTGTGTTCTGGGGCATCCAGACCAAAGAGAAGAGAGTAACTCCATGTCTTTTCAGTCCTTTTCTTTTTCCTTTCAACAATAATCTGCCTGCCTTTCAGACAGGACTGCTTTTGAATTTGTCTCTGGAAATTCAACACCTGACATCCAGCTGAGTCTTCAAATGTTTTTAATGAGGCCACAGTCAGGCCAGAGCTCTCCATGCTGAATGGCTGTGTCCTTATCACTGAGAGGATGTGTAAACAGACAGTCGCTGTCATTTATCTGATTTCCCATCAGGTAACTGTCGCCTGGTGTTCTTCCTAACTGTGCCATGCATTGGACTTGTGCAAAAGAGCTAGCCCTTCCTCTGTTAGAGTTTCTGTAAATGATGTTCTCTTTTTTCCTGCATTGCAAGATGAGGCTTTCTTCTTTAAAAGTTATAGGACTTGGGAATTTTTGCTTTTCTAGAGGCTATTTCTTTTATTATAACTGCAAAGAGGAAAAAATAATCTTTTAAAACTACGCATTATTAATGCTACGAGCCCTCTTTGCAGTATTTTAAACCTAGCCTCCTGCCACCAAGGACTGTATGGAGATACATGTCCCATGCAGTTGAAGTCATTTTTGGAGCTGACTTTGATTCCATGCAACTGTTACGTTCATGGAACTCCATTAATTTAAGTGGAGTTACTTAGGTTTTAAATGAAATGAGAATCACAATTACTCTCTTCATTATTCATCCATCAGTCTCATGCGTAGCAGTATGTCTGAGGTACACCCAGTAATTAGTACACCTTTCTGCAGCTTATTGCTATATTAACAATTCCCTAAACTATCATGTCCCCCCTAATTTTTCTTGGAAAAAGCCCATACCTTTCTCTAAAGGCACAATGCACTGCTTTTCTCTGCGTAAGTGTGGCTTGATCCATCATGTTTGTACTTATTTATCTAGCTTTTAAAACACAATTTTTATTTAAATATGATAAATTTTTAATGAATTTCTGTGTGCCAAGATTTTACTCACAAAAAAGGTACAAACTTACATTAATCAGCAGGGGGGGGGAGGGGGCAATTAAGGAAAAGCAACAGCTTGTTTCAGGTGCTGTAGGCTAACCACATCTCAGAGATGTCTGATAGAAATAAATGGGTCAAGTGACAGAGCTGAGGCTGCTCAAAGCAGGTCTGAAACTAGCTCCGAGTGTTTTCTTTTAAAAAACACTATTCACTGAGTTTGGAGCCATTACATATCAGAAAGACAGATGGTCTCACAAGTTCTGCCAAGTAAATAGGTCTTATTATGAATAAATCAAAGACAGAAATGATGAAAATTCATTTTCTTGTTTATTTTCTGTACATAGAAGCTAAGCTTTAGACATGTTTAGTAAACGAAGGCACTTGATTAGCTCTAGCAATGAAACTGGTCACCACTGATATAAAATTTGATATAAAGAATTTGATATAAAATTCAGAACAGGTGAAGCAAGTAGTGCATTTCAAAAATGTCAGAGGGACTGTGAGCCCAGTGGTACTGGACAGATCACTGCAAATTAAGCCCTTTAGGAGGATTAGTTTAGTGTCTTCCCTCTTTGTGGCACACAGCACCAGAAAAATACTAAGTTCACCCAATATAAAGTCAACATCTATCAAGGTGAATGTCAAGCAGGCTGTGAACTTGCAGCAAACTACTTACTTAGCAGGGGCCTCCCTGTGTGCATGCCTCACTTCAAGATGAAGGCCAAGGAGCTTATCCTCGAAAGCAGAGTAACCTACTTTGCAATTACCAGAGTTTGCCACTGGGTAGGAATGTGCACAGTAAATGGTTGGCAGCTAACGCATTATAAGTTTAGAATCAAGTTTATCCCAGTAAACCCATTTCATTTGTTCACGTGTTCCTACCTTGAGAGGGCTCCGAGTGGTTCATACCTAGGGACTCTCTGTTGCCACTATAATGGCCAAAGCAGCACTGTTACCCTCTGAATATAAATGACCTGGAAAAAATTAAGCTCAGAGCAGGAAGCAATGGTGACTGTGTCCCTGCAGAACTGAAGACTCAAGATGCCTTATCAAAACAAGAGTTAATCTGAGAGAGGATCAAAGTGTGGAATTCCTACCTGCTAGTTAAACCTAAAAGCTTAATTTGTACAAAACCTAATGGTGTTTTTTCATAATGTGCCTCTTTTATGATAGTCCTGCCTGAATTCCCCTGAAACATTGAAATATGGCAGCTTTAAATAAGAGCAGAAACCTCCTAATAAAAAATGAATTCTTTCCCAGTCTAAGTAGATAAATTAGCAGCCTCCTAACTGTACTGCTGCTAATGACATGTCTTGTTGGTGATTTTGTAGACTGCAAGGTCAGTGAAGCATCTTACAAATATTTTTTAATTGGCCAGATTGTTAACATACATAGCAAAGTAGCGAGGGAAGGGAGAGACCCTCTGACACTGCTGCCCCTTCATTCCAGGACAGATGGTCCCTACAGCTAATGGGTGAATCACACTGACAAGAATCATGAGGAAGACATCTCTTTGACTTTACCTGTCGTTTGGATAATCAGGGGATTATAGCTTTTGGGCTCATCATTACAGGCATCAAGACTCTTTATGTAAAATATGTAAAGATGAGAAGCACAGCACTGGGAAGCTGAGATTCACTGACTTCGAAGGGAGCCCGATTTGCAAATGACAGGTAGCTGTGGATAGTTTCGACTGTAGTTCTTGCAAGCTGGTGAGGCTCAGCCCTTCTGCCTTCCTCCCTATCTACAAATCATTAGCTAGACTGTTCAGTTCTGGAGCAGACACAGCATCCTTCAGACTTCTGAGGTTACTCTTGCTGCTCTTGTCCCGTTTGTCAGGAAAAGCAGTAACAAGGATTTAATGGGGTTTTGAACACCTTTATTCAGGGCCTGTAACCCTCCCAATGGTTTAATCTTTCACTGCACAAGGCTCTTGCAAATAGTTTCTAATGCAGACTACCGTGCTTAACATCTGTCCATCTGGGAAAGCATTTCCTGGTGGACTGCTGTACTGCAGTTTTGAAGATCTTTGAAGGAAATGAAAATCGAGCTTAATTCTCCACAGAGCTACCTATACACTTCTGTGAGGAATGGAATGAACCGGTGGGGATGATATGCTAATAAATCAGCTAATGAGGGAAAAGCAGGGAACACTTCCCCCTTTTCAGACAGCCTTCAGCACTCCCCCATGCTCACAGCTCTTCTTCACAGAGTATTAAAGAGACCAGAAACGTGCTTGATAGTAACGCTCACCTGTTTGCTACTATGCTTTGTAGCTCTGATAATAGACACAGATCAATGTCTGCAGACATCCAGCTCCCTGAATGATGAAATCTGTGTGGCAAAGCACATGGTTGAATTTCTGATTTAACAGTTTACTCCTTGCTGCTTATGAGTCACAAAAGAGCTGCATGCAGAAGTATAAGGCTTTCTTTGAAATCACAAAGTAATAGGCAAGTAAAACAAAACTAATTCCTGGTCTCAATCTATCCCTGCAACAGCACAGTAATTTCTTTGTATGTTTTTTGTTTTTTTACTTAGAGAAAGTGGGAGAAGAAAAAGGCCCGGCCAGAAGTCAGTGTGACTGCTCACATCTCATTGCCTTATTTGTTTGCTCTAAGGAGACCACAAGGCACCTAAAACACAGAGGATGACCCTCCCCATCCAGCACTGCCCCTTCAGGCAGATATGCAGCCCCTGCATTTCCAAGCTGCCTTCTGTTCTCCCTGCCTCTCACTTCTGCGTCTGCAGTAAGCTGGGAAATGGTTGGTACTGACACCAGAGAACTTGCAATGGTCTGAAAATACTTGGTCCAACAGTCTTCATGAGAGAGGGGATCACCAAAATGGTATCAACTCAGAGCAACAAATTGGTATGGGGTGGGCAGGACAGAACTACCCACCATTTACCCACTGTGCCTCCTCTTCTCTCTGCTTGAGCTTCCTCTGAGCACATCTGATAATCTGTCCCATGGTCTTTGGGTTGTTAAATGACCCCTAGTGCATATAGGAGACAGTTTTCTAAAAATAAAATCTGTTTCCTGCATATAAGGATGTGCTCTAATCTTCTACTTTTGCCTCAGTTATACAGAAAAAAAGAGAGTATATGACTATTGAAGACTTCACTAGGAGACAGTAATGGTTGTCACCCAATTAAAAAGAGAGGAAGTGAGAATATCACATCTCTTGATACTCATAATAGCAATAACAGCTTTCAGACATATGACATAATTCTGAACTGAAGGCCACTTAATTGCAGAGAGACTTTCCCTTCCCATTAATCAAAGTCAATAGAGAATCAATAGAAGAAATGCACTGAAGCTAAACCTGGTCTACCTATATGCTTATATGGCACCAGGAACAGGGAATCCTGGGTTTGGGACCCACAGTTGCACCGTCTTACAACAGTGCACATGCAGCAACTTAGGTGACAAGGTTTCTAATTTGGCTTCACGGATCCCTTAATTGCCTAAACATACAGTCCCAATTTGTTTTAATATGTGAAACTGCATTTCACAGATGCTGATGATGGGTGAGAGTCTATTTCTGTGTGGAAGTCACAAGCAAAATTCCTGCTGACTTCAGTAGTTCCCAGGTTTTCATCCTGTGCTTAAAATGTTCTTTGAGACGTTTGTTTCTGTGACAGAGCTTGTCTTATAGAATAATCTTGCTAGTATAATACTCACAGAGGGTCCCCAATGCAACATTTCTAACAAGGGTCATTTAATCTGGCATTTATAGTTAAATTATGAGGAACATAGCAGTAATCACCCCACATTCAGAAAACTTCCATAGAACTGCATGATTTGTCTATTTGTTGTTAAGGGAAATCTGTGATATACTAAACTGCATTTGCTATTATTTCTGAGGTTTGGTAGACATAAGGGGTAGTAAAAAGCAGATACTGTACTAGAGAATTCTAGCTCTGTGTAGGAGGTATCAAAGCCAGAAGAAGAGCAGCCTCAGTCATATTTGCCCTAAAGGCTTAAGGTGGTCCAGTGAAGAACAAATTCCAACATCTCCCAGGTGTGAACAAATGAACATCAGCAGAGGTTCAGAGGTTTTAACATGACAAGGAAATTAATCTCTTGTGCTCTCTATCTGAGCCAGGCTGGGTCAGGAAAACAGGGAGTGACTGTAAGAGATGAACACTATTTGGAGGAATAGCTGGACAGGGAAGATACTGAGCATAAGTGATGTCAACATGAAGCAAGCAGTGACTGGATGGAAGCTAATGAATCAGAGACACAATCACTGGCAAGTCTGAAACTGAACATTTTTCTACTACAGCTGCTCGGTCTGAAGACTCAGTAGATAAAGTAATAAAATGCTACTGTAAGTGACCCAAATTATTCTCCTCCTTTTATGGTTGAGGTATTTCTTCCTTCTCTTCTTCCAGAGAGCTCTTAAATCTTTCTTGACATAGGTTATTCAAGAGGCTTTCAGAGGGCAACATCCTCATTCAGATGAGCTGGTTTCCACTTGTCCAGATTTCCTGGACTCTGGAGCAATTATAAGTTGCCAACTGTATCAATGGCCACGTGAGAGAGGATGATTGACTCTGCCCCTTCCAGCAGTTACCCACCTGTACGCTGGAGTCTTGGACCAGGCAGAGCTGCTCCTGTATCTTCTGGAGCTCCTCCTGCTGCCACCGGATGTTGGCCTGAAGGATCCGTGTCCGCTGCTCTAGTTGGTCCTTGATTGTCTGGAACATGCTGAACTGTGCTGAGAACTGAAAGAAAAAAAAGGGGGAAAAATCAGTCATTATAACACAAACAGGCCTCAACAGAACACTGTTCTCTATGAAGGTATTGGTTTCTTGATTGTAAAGCACAGCCACAGAATAAAAAAAATGTTTGTGATATACTAACATCTAGGCAGAGATAAATCTTGTCTATTTTCAATTTTATGCACATATATTATATTGCCTCAGTTAGAATGATCTGCTTACAACTGACCCTGTTCTGTTACAAGAACTGCTTTCGAGAGTATGTTACTTTAAAATATCAAGAGCATCTTAACTGGATGGCAAGTTAGTGCATTATTTTTATTAGCTTGTAGTCTGGAGCCCTTAGTTTGGCATAACTGTTTATTCCAGATGTGTTTCACTAATGCTTTTCTTTTTCTGCACAGAAATAGTAGTTCTTCAATGGTTTATTCTGTTGATGACTTAGTAAGGCATCACACAACAGACCACAATAAGCATTTTCTACATTTGTACAGCTGAGTAGTACTCAAGGTACAAGAAATACTCATTAAGTTATTTTTATATGTGATGTAAAATGAATAGCTCAGCTCAGTGGGAGAAAGGCTGTTCTAAGTAACAGTATAAAATAGACATCACTAATCAAGGTCAAGAAGAAAGTGGAACTCCCAATAGCAGCAATACCTGGCACAAACTGGAATTATTCAAGAACTGTGCAGGGGACTAACACAGCAATAAATTCCTAGTTTTATTTGGTGTTTTCAGGTATAATTCAAAGTTCACCAAAGTTAATTATAACCTTAAGAGGCTTTGGAATAATTGCTTTGCATGAGCTTATATTCCAAAAGAAAAAAAACAGTCTTTGAAAAAATAAAAAAGAACAACTTCAAAAAATCTGTAAGCTTTTCCATAATCAAGATATCCAAAATCTATCTGAAAACATGTGATGCTGGGAGTGTCCACGCAAAAGAAATATAATAATTTTGATGTGACTTGAAAATGGTGCCCTGTTCCTGTAGTTGTTCCACTGTCTCTGTGCTAGTTGGTGAACTGATGCATGCTGCTGGAACCTTTCTGCTCCACTGTGCATTGGCTTATACTGTTTCTGGCTTTTTAATAGGAAAACAAAAATGGAAACAAGATGGGAATTAAGGAGTACTTTGGCGATAGCAACACTATACAGTTAAATGAAATTTTTGGCTACTGAGAGAAATCTAAATATGACGGGTCAGATTTGTATCAGCTAACTACTTTGCCTTAAACCAGTAAAATATGTGAAAGTACCTTTATATTCCCCCTAGCAAAGCTGAAATCTCCAAGTAAATGGCCCTTAGGAGAGAAAGAATGAGAATTTCAGAGAGTTTACTTCTATTTACTAGGCAGAGGGTAGCTTTACCACACCATCTGTGAGGTGTCAAGGTGGAGGTGAGTTTCACGTCCAGCCCTGGGCCTGTGCTGTGATTCACGATGCTTTTGCCTTCAAACAGCAGTGCCATCATGTGCAACCCAGTCCTCTCCCAGGGCAGAAAAACAGTGTCAAAGCTCACAAAGGGAAGTTTATGTTACTTCTAATTGGAGTTAAAGGGGAGAAGCCATAGCAAGGTCTCTCTAGTCTATGTATAAAGTATTAACCCAAGGAATGGTTGAGGCAAAATTTCAGATGTTTGGGAATAAGGACAAGTGACTAAAAGGGGCATCTGGTGCTGCTTGTTGCAGCCCGACCCCATGTTTCTGAAAAGTCCCAGGTACTCTGATTTTAGGAGTGGAATGATGCTATGTAGCAATGACTTGCTTAGATGAGATGCAGCTAATTGCTGCTTTAACCTGGGTCTGTACAGAAGGATTTTTTAAAAAGACAGGTCTCATAATCTAATTATCTCTATATGAACTCTTTTAGAGAGGACTGACTACTCACAATTTTTTAAAAGGATACTTATCAGAAAGGAATTAAAAACAGTTGCAGCCAACAACTTCATTTTAACTGCCTGGCTTGCTGATGACAGTCTTTTCATTAATGTGCAAACTCCTTAAAGACACTTTGGGAAAGGAACCTGATTTTCTTCAATTGATAAACATTGAGGAATTTTGTAACAGGTAATTTTATAATCATTTTATACTTCAACAAGAAACGAAATCCATTTCCAGGCCTTACTTTAAATTTGAATTTGCTTTGCAAAGTTGCACACAAGAATATATTGCTGTTGATTTTAAATTATTATTCCTTCATTTTTGGGGTCAGGTTCTTATATTTAGCATATTCATCTTATACGGTCTTTTTGTTCTCTTTTTCACATGCTTTTTGTATTAATACACTTAACAACAACAATTAGCTGGTATACTGGAGTGAAAGCCATTACAGAAGAAGACAAGGAACTTTCTCTTTTGCTTTTTTCCCTTTCCCACTCCAACCCCCAAATTGTTGATAACTCTAGCCATGACCCCTTGTGCTTACAGAGCTTCTACTGTTTTTGTACAATCAGACACTAACAGCAATTGACCTGCACCAGAGAGTGTTTATCTCATGATCATTAACCACTCTACTAATTAAGGAAAGAATCTGTAATTGTATAATAAATTAAAAGAGCTTAACTCAAAATGTTCCACAGAAAACACTGCCCAGCTTTAATTCTGCCATTGGCATCAGATGAAGTTGCTCTTCGTCTCACTTAGGTATTTACATATGTTCACAGAATCCTCAGAAAAGTGCATGTAATACACAGAGAAATGCCATCTTTCCAGATAAAGTCAAACATGGAAGACTAAACCTCTGAGATGTCTATAATTGCAACAGTTTAATCAAGGTTTGTTAATGCAGAAAAAAAAACCAAAAAACCCACCAACCAAAAGCCACAGCAGTAATTTTAGTGTGATTTCTTAGAAAAAAAAAAGAAAGCAAGCCATGCATTTGGGATCCTATTGGCAGATGTTCTGATAGGAATGGGCTTGATGCACTCATGCTGCTGATGGTCCAGACAGGCTGTACAGGCTTGGGAAAGGGACTGGCACTTCTGGGCTGTGACTCCTCTCCTCCAGCATGGGCATCTGAAAGATACCAGCTGGACCATGCCCGAGGAGAGGTGTTTCTCTCCACTGGGTGCCACCCCAGGCTGCCAGGGTTACTCCCTCTCTCTAGGTGCTGGGGAACTGCAGCCAGGGAAGAGGAACTATGGCCCCAGTGTCTGTCAGGATGGTCCCTCATTTCAGATGTGATGAACAAGAAGATGGACACCTCAAAGACATTCTGTTCCCACAAGTTTCATGACAATAGGTAGCTGGGTAAAGAAAAGAGACCCTATTTGGGTTTTAGCTCAGTTTCCTTTAAATCTTTCTTTTCTGCCTACCTTCCAACTTTCTTTCAATTCTTCTGGCCCAGGAGATGAGCCATATTTCTTGCCAGAGACATGCAACAGAGTTGCTATAGTGTCGAAAATACCAGACTTCATGAAACCTTTAGCTAAGTAAGTGAGAGAGGGATCCACTTGTCCCTTCCTCCTGCCAGAAAGGCTGGCTCCATGCACCAGCCTTGCAAGGCGCAACCCCTGGGAAACTGGGTTTCATTAGTTTTGCAGCTCACTGAACAACTTGTTCGTTCTTTCTGTCATCTGAATAACACCTGCTCAATCCCAAATGGATTATTAGTGTTAATTATTATTCAGTCATCAACATCCGCTGTGTTGTAGGGGATTTTAATTTATGACAATGAGAAAGGCAAACAAACAGATATTCTAATAGGGAACACTTGGTTTAAAGTAAACCATTCACATTCAGGTGACATCTAGCACTGTGCTGTCTGTTCATTCACACAAGCAAGGCAGAAGCTAAAATGGCATTTCATTGGAGACAAAACCATCACAGCCTTTGCTCAAAATAAAACTAATCAAAGTCCAAGCAGATGTTGGCTGAGGCAGCAGCTAGCTGCTTGCTGCAAATGCAGTTGTGGCCACTTAAAATCTTTGTCCTCGCTGCTGCCACTCTGCAGTCAAATGTTAGCTGCAAGGACACCTGGCTCCCTGTGTGGCCAGGCTGGGCATGCTGCCTTTCAGCTCCTGCCATGAGTCACCCTTAGCTAAAGGCAAGAGGCAGAAAGGCATCAGGGAGCAACCTGCACAGCTCCTCCTTGTGGGCTGGCAGTGGGGCACCTGGCCATGCTACTTCTACAGGCAATGAGCCCGTTGAGGTGTTTAAACTGCTGTGAAATGGTCAACTAGGAAGCCGAGGAAATGTTCACGGCGAGAAGCACGTGTACCTGCATTTCGTCCCTCACTCGTCTAGTGCTGCAGGCACCTTGTCTTTTAAATAATGAATTATCTTGCTGCAGGCTGACATGTTAATTATTTTAAAGTGTGAAGTACAGAGTACTCTCATAATTTTCATGATAGTTTATGAAAATCACCCAAGCGTGTGGAGATTTGGTACTTTTCGCAGGATTATCACTATGGAGTGTGAGCATTAGCAACCTGAGCTGCAATGCCCTGGTGTTATTTCCCTACTCCACATCAAGCTTCATTTTGAGCTTCGCCAGGAGCACTGCTGTGACTTTGCTGACAATTGAAAAGAAGGCTGCCAGAGGGCTGCCTGTGTAGGCAGACTTGAGTCAGCCCTCTTCCTTTCACCAAGATTTAGCTGGCCCAAAGAGGCTTAACCAGTGACCGGATGGTGCTCCAATTTGGCAGAAAAGAAATGGAGCTGGTGTGCCAGTAAGAGCATTTTACAGGGAAGAAACAGGTCAGTGAATGTCTTGGTAAACGACTGGAAAGCTTCTTTTCACAAAGAGCTTTGATGAGGAAGAAAGGAGGGTTAGAAAAAAGTCAAACAATTCACATGCAGGTTTATAACACATAAACTAATTGATGTTTGAAAGTGCATTAATGAATAACGGAGAGAAGTATCTGTAAAAGAAAATGAATGCTCAGAGCAGATAATTGATATGCCGTTTCTTTGCTGCATGCTAGTATGGAGTCGTGAAAAGAATATTAAACATAGAAGATAAATGAGAATTTGTTATTTTAAAGCCAGGATCCTCAGGACTTTATATGTTTTATATGCTACAGGAAGAAACTCTGGGATCTTGTGAGGGAGTACAGGGTGCCAGTGGTAGAAGCAGTCTAGGTCCAGGAATACTCTGCCATTCCTAAAATCAGAGAACGATGGGGTATACCATCACAGCAGCACCACAGGAGAAAAACAATGTGTGGAGAACATGGTACTCAAATTTGCTTCAATATCCTTTGCAAATGAAATATTGAGGTGACTTTTTGGGCAATCAACCACTTTTGAGATATGGATTAATAGACTGAAGGAATTTGAACTTCATCTCCAGCAGCGTCCTCACCATTACTGGCACACTCACAAAATGGGTGTCGTTGAACTTGTGTATCCTTTACTGCTTGTTAGTTCTGCATCAGCACAGCCAAATAGGTGTTTTTAGGAGGACTGCGTGTCTTTTTTAGTTTTTAGTTTTAATTCTCATTGTAGTTTTGATCTTGATGGGACCTGGTTCTGTAAAAGCAAAGTTGAAAACTCTTTTTCCATCTGTTTTTTGTCCTCCTGTGAAATAGATGTATGTGTGCACCTGAATCTACATGCACCTGGGCTTCTGAACACCTGCACGCAGTTATATGTTTAAACACGCAAGTGTACAACTCAGATCACTTTCCCACAATATTTTACATGTTTGAGAGCTGGTGGATTTGGGGATTTTAGTTCCTAGAGAGGTAACCTAAAAGCCCCAAAATGAGAAAATATCAGGAGATAAGCAAGTGACCTATTCCACTTCCAAATCCCCAACTAACCTGTGCCAGAGGTGCAGGCTGATTTTGCAGAGTTGCTTGAGGCAGCAACTGCTGTGGGAGAAGCTCACATGGAGGCTGAGAAGGCAAAGAAACCTAGATTAAAAACAAAACAAACCAAAACTTTATTTATAAGTTTGGCTCCTTTAAATTTTAGGTTTCTTCTAATGCCATGGCTTTTGTGTAAGTAATTTTTAATTGCTAAGCTGCCTATGTGGCACATGCTGTATACCCTCTGCCTATTTCTATCATTCCTTGGGAAGTTACCTGAAGAGCAGTAGGTTGACTGAGTCTATGCAGAGATAGATCCTGCTGCGCACTTGGTGTTCTTGGCAAGGGAGTGTTAGACTCTGCAATCAGCTTTGTTGGTGTAGCTGCAAGAAAAGTACTGGTGAGTTCTCACACGCTGGAAATCAACCCTCTTTGAAGTGGTTATTATGACAAGACCTAGGTAGAAATTATTACAGCCTCACTAAATTTCAGTGGGAGTCAAGGCTGTTCTTGTTGACTTAAATGGCAGTAAAATTAAACTGATAAGGAGGGTCTTGGCAAAGATAAAAGTAAATGAGACAGATTATGATTTTGTGCTCCAACGAACAGAGCAAAAGGACCCAGGAACTGTTCTAAAACAGCTGGAACTCCCTTTATATGGGCCAAATAACTGCAAATTTAAGTTAACTCATTGGCTTTTCTTCCAGACCAGGGAGCAGAAAGAGTATACCCAAGTCAACACTGAAGGTCCTGAATCTTGGCCAGAAAAGAATCACCCACAGGCCGTTATTACTCATGTAAGTCTAGAGAGGTCTCATATTGTTCATACTTATGCCCTCAAATCTGAAGACAGAAGTCCTCATTTTTGTAACAGATTGAAGCAGCAGGTCTCACTGCTAATCCCACTACTCATTTCCCAGCACTTAGGTGGCTGCACTAGAACCTTCCCTCTTGTATGTTACCATTTCAGATTATGCACTTCATTGTCAGTGCATATCACTGATAACTCATAAATAACTGTTAAATTATCAGCTGTGGTATATAGGCACACATTCTGTAACTTGGCTAAATTAAAAATAATGCAGTAACCCAGGAATGCCACTCACATGCTGGGTCTGACTTGGGTGTGTGGGAAGATTTTGGTGAGCTCCTAGATGATACTGAGGGTGTCCGACTGGCGCTGAGGATTGAGGCACCAACATCAAGTGCATTAAAGTGCTGTTCAGGATCCAAGCTGGCACCATTGTCCTAAAACAAACCAGAAAAAGGGAATAGCTATTGCATCTGTCAAGGTTAAAGCATTTTGAAATGCATTTAGTAATGGTTGCACACCAGTTCTTTGGCAGGCCTAAAATGACTTGAGCAGAACTAATCCCAGGTAGACCAGCAGAAGACCCAGACACAGGCGTCAATGTCTCTTCCAAATAGCATCTTAGTAATGCATTTTACAAACAACTGTCACTGAGTTAGAAATAAATAGCAAGCTATGCCATACTCATTTTGAGCCTTCAGATGTTTTCCTGAATCTTTCGTGTTCAGTTGCATGTGACAGCAACTGCAACCTCTGTGAGACACTCAGCCATGCATTGAGAAGGAACTTTGCTGTGTTCCCTCATCAGATCACTGAGATATAGCCAAGAGGGCTGATTGCCAGAACTTGTCCAAATTCATCTTTAAACTGTAGTATTTTGCCAAGGAAAAGTGGAGATATCTCACACTGCCCCTGCCCATGTTCTACTTTATTTCTGGCTGTTACTGATCTCCAGGTTTATCCTTTCATATTCATAACCCAATTTGCGTTAAAATTATTCAAGTGAGCAATGAATTCTGAAGTTGAGTGAATCCACCCAGAAAGACAATGCTGGAGTCTCCGGTGACATTAACATAGGAACGAGTTGTGATTACTACATAAATTCAGGAAAAAAAGCTTTTCTCGTTGTACCTTAAGTGCTGAGGACACAACCTCTGAGGACACTTCTTCCAAGCCCATCTCCTGTCTCCTCTCCACCCGAACATCTGCATAACTGAATGGAAAATATAATTCTATGTATCAACATGGAATTCTTATGTTTCATTAAATGTGCTTTAAGAAAGTAGAGGAACATTAAATTACTGTACCATTTTACAGGTTAAATGAACAGCTGAAAAATCATTTAAGTCAAATGCTACTGAATAACATTTGAGAAACTGTTTTAATTTTCAGGTTTTGGTCTATTCCTATCTTCTTGAAGTCAAGAAGCATATTAAGGAAGAATATATAAAGGTCAAGTTCACATCCTACAACTTCTTTATGACTTCACTGGAAAGCTTCCACACAGCTCTTTAAAAACAACATAAGGATTAGAGGAAGTGAATATTTAAGGGATCTGTCTATTCTCTATTTTATTTACTAAGATTTAGTCTGACAATTTTTCTATAATTAACGTATTTCCTTCAGAGAATTCAGGTTTAACTTTTTCTTAATTAAAAGACATTATGTTTTTAGGAGAAAATGTTGGCAGACATGAGGATGCCCTTATCTTACTGCCCTTTATGTCCCTGCTGGTTGATATTATTTCCATACCTTACCACCATGTGTGTGCACACAATGAACTCTGGCTTGGAGTTCCACTGGTGGTAGGTGATATAGTAATGGGTCTGGAGCCAGATCCACTGCTGTCCTTTGGTCAGAAACCGATAGCAGCACGACTTCCCCTTGCCGAACTGCATCACTGTTGGCAGAAAACACACACAGCTTGTAACACAATTTCCCATGTGAAAATGACATGAAATGTGCATAAAAGTCACAAAAATATCTGTGTCTCCCCATCAATTCCCAAGGCAGACAGGAGTCTAAGCACCAATTTTGAGTAAGTGCTCCCTCAGCCTTATGATAGAGCAAAAATCACAAAGATGAGCAGGTATCTTCTTCTGACACTTTAAATGGTACATTCCTACACAGTACTATTAACCTTAAGTTTGGACACTAATGCATTAGTGTCTGCTACAATTTAAACAGAGACCTTACCCTGCTTTATGTACTGGTCACATACTGCTTAATTAGGCATCTGGGATTAATTTCTAAGAGTGATCATCTTAAATTCTAAAGCAGAAAATACAGAATAAAAATGCTTGTAAAGATGAGTATTGTGTGCAGATGGACTTAGAATGAAGTGAGCATAAGAGATAACACTGTGCAAAGACAACAAAAGGAACTGAAAGGAAGTTTTTAGACCAACAAGAATTCAAACTACAGTAAATACAGATGTATTGAAGGTTTGAAAGATTCACCAAAAAAATTCACCTCTGCGTTTTTTCCCTGGTGATTTCAAAGGGTTCCCAAGCACCCCCATTTTTAGCCTTTCTATATTTTCAATGTCAACATATAAAAACTACTGTTGACAGCATACTTCCAGAACAGGCAGAAGTGGTAAGCTGAGATGCTACAGCCAGTTCTGTAAGCAAATATTTGAAAAGCATTGCCTCATTTTCTTTACTTAAAGAGTTTTCCAATTAAACTTTAACAGACTCTATTTAAATAATCACAGGTAATCCCAAATACACAGTGAACAACATTAGGGGAAATAATCTACAAGAATTTCTTGAACTATTCCTGCATAGTCTTCACTAACGGGGATCTAATCTAGCACATTTTATCCATTCAGTCAGGCTTGTTGACTACATTTGGGGATACAGAAGGTAAAACTGTATTTTCCAAAGCTTGGTAAGTTTGTCCCAGATGCCAATCAGCTGCAGGGCCTCCAACCTGCTACAACTCTTCTAAGATATACAGGCTGAGGTAAGAGTCAAACTTCCCCTTCCAAGTTTAACTGCAACAACATTCCACTGAAAAGAGGTGTCCCAGTGACTTCCCAGGAACCTGGGCCATGAGATACTTACAGTGTTCATGGCACCTTGCTAGCAGCTCCAGGTCATCTATGTGGTAATAATCGTAGCCAGAAGTACCCAGCACTTCAAAAGGCAAGTATCCTATAATTGGCGGTGCTCTGTGGTTAGGCACAACATAAGTGAGTTCATAAATCATAAAACAAGCAGTTCTGCATGTTGACATGGATATGCAAAAAGCCCAGATCTGCTTTCACTCATCAGTGTACAGTTGTTCATCCCAGGGGACTGGATCCTGACTTTCCCCCACCTTGTGCCTGGGATGGCCAGCTGGGCACAGCAGTACTGGCAGCACCATCCAACCAGGACAAGGCTATGACAACCCCTTTTTTCCAGGGAAAATGTGGCTATGGAAAGCAATTCAGCTTCTCAGGGACCTTCACACAGGAACCTGTGGTGAGGAGCCATTCCCTGGCTGTTCCTTGGTCAGGGGGTCTGCGGCAGCTCCTGCAGTCCTTGCAGGGGAAAATGCATAGCGAGGTGAAAGGAAACTACCATTTGCTGGGACTAGAGGGATAGGAGGGGAAATTGTCTGTGCTGCTTCCCTCTGGGTGCCTGGAGAGCTTATCTGTGGTGTGTTGAAGCACTTGCTTTGTACCTTTGCCAGCACAGATGCCTCAGGCCAGCACAGACTTTCACTCCATAACTCGGTGGGAATTGCACACACACAATCAATGATTGGATTTGGAAAGAAGGATTTCTGCAGCTGTATAATAATTAGATAATTTTGCAATGCGACCGACTTTGGTCTGTTGATAATTTTAAAGGAAAGAAGAACAAGCTAATCAGAAATTTGGCCTGACAAACGGAGTACTTTTGTTTTAAAAGCCCATTAAAAATAAATGCAAAAATAAATGTAAAATAGTAAACTTTTGCAGGAATTTCAGTGCAGCCCTCCTGTTCAGGAGATTTAGATGTGAAATGGAACATTATTTGAGATAATTGTACTTACGAAATAGCAGTACACAAGCACCAAACACAACCAGCTTTTCTTGTCACCAACCTGTGATCCAGGAACAAAAATTTCCACTCCAGACTGTGTCTTGATGTGAATTCCTCTAGATGTTCTTCCACAATGCACATCTCCTGTCCAATGGAGAAAACTGACTTACTGAGAGTTGCAGCTTCAGCCCTCTGCTTCATCTAGCTTTTGTTAGCTATAAACACATGGTGCATAAAAGGAGAAAACAGAGGATTCACCTATTTTCTGGCAATTCCAGAGAGAGATCTATTGTATTTAGCAATGCCAACATTTTTGCAGGAGCTGGGGAGAAGAACTGGTGATGCACATGAACTTAAGAGCTGAGACACTGCCTCAGGGTGCCAAAACTTTTATGGCTTTGAAGCAGTGCCTGCGGTGTAATGGCTGCGCTGTCCACAGCCCCAAGGAGCAATGCCCTTTTCCAGCATCCAGCCTATGCCTGATCCCACTAGAGTTTGTCATGTCTTGCTTCACTTTCCTTATGTTACTAAAGATACCCACCACGCTTGCCTGGTCCTTTTGGACATCTTCCCCCAGAGCTCTATTTGAGGAAGGGGAATACTCCTCACTCAATAGCTGCAGAGGAGTAAATGCCTTTCCATGCAGCCAGCCTGCATGGGACCTGTCAGGCAGGTAAGAGGCAGCAGTTTTGCAATGTACTTCACTGCTGCAGTGAAGAAGCTGGCTCTGAAGACTCACAGCAGCCCTCAGTGCTCACAAGACTGATAACTAATGAGTGAATTACAGGAGGCAGGGTACAGGGCTGTCTGTGAGGCAGGACATCCTTGCCCCAGAGGGATGAGGATCAGGAGGCAGTGATTATTTGTTGTGGAGAGGTGGGAAGCAGAGGGAAGGATGGCACCATGGTGCACACCTGTGCATGGTCCAGGGCTGGTTGCATGTCCCACTTGCAACCAACCTGCAAGGCCAACTTGCCTCCCGCTCATGGCTCTCCTCTGCCAACCTCTCCTCTCCCACTAGAAGAGGAGCAACTGGGTTGGGTCTTGCCAGCGTCAGCGCTCCAGATTTGGTGGCATCCAGGGTTACTGTGTCCTTCATGTCTCTCCTGCAGGAAGGTCTCCATCATCACTGATAAGGACAGCCTGTCCACTAGCTCCCAATGCTGCTATTCCCCAGCTCCCTGATGGCACATTCTCCTGTGCTGTGGGCTCAGTGACACTCTCTCATCATCTCCATTGCTGCTTCTCTCTCTGTTGTCCTTCTTGGGGAGAGAAGACTTTCAGACCACTGATGTTTTAAACCCTCTTGGGACCAGAGGACAAGTTGAGGTGCACTGTCATCAAGCATGTCTTTCATACATATCAATGCTGACAAAGTTGTTTAAAGTCTCTGGCTGTGCAGAGGCAAAAGGCTTCATGAACACTTTAAATTCCTCTCTACCCCTCTTTCCAATTTAGGCCAAAATCCATGCTGATGCCAAGAACATACACTAAAATTCAAGGTGCAACATACAAACATTGCTGTGTGCAACCAAATTGCTGATTCTGCCTTCCTTAGCCAGTCACATAAACATTTTTACCTTCTTTTTAGAGGAGGAAGACTGAGGGTTAAGTGAGTCACCCAGGAGAACCGAAGAGATGAGTGTTTAGGACTTTGTGGCAGTTAAAAGCTTTTCTGGGCTGTTCAGCAGCTGCTTCCTCCCTAGTACCATGCAGCTCATTGCCATGTGCAGCTCATTTAGTTTCCCTGTTTATTTTGAGGTGTTAGCTACCCAAAGACAAGGGAATTTGCTTTTAGGTTTCCCAGCGTACCTTAACTCCAACCCTACTCTTACTATGATTACTGTGGTTAAGATTTATGGGAAGTGTCCTCACTTACCCAGAAAGGACTCTACTTGCCTGCCAGGGCCATGAATCAGTCAAGAGTGCCCTGCAAGTCCAAGAGCAGTAACGGAGCCAGGCCAAGGAAGCAGTGATTTCATATTGGTCAGGTCCAAATTACATTAAAAAAATCTCTTAACCCCTGAGGATGGGGCATCTGATGCAGTAGTTCACAGCTGTCAATTAGGGAACAGCAGTCTCAGGCACAAGGTTGGATTGTCTATCCTTATAACCACAATCATGTATCTTACTACCAGGATTTGGGAGGAGGGAAACTAGCAGCAGTCCACCAAAGACACTGAGGGCACAAATGACAGTGTTGGTGGCCACCTGTACATTGTCCCATTGCAGGAACAGAAAGCAGCAAGGAAGAACCCAATTTCAAAGTGACTTTGTAATTCCTAATGCAAGGAGGGGTTCCATTTACCATGTGATAGGGGCAGAAGTGACACTGCTTCCACAGATCCTGGCTTGCACTGATAATCCGCTTCACTGGATTTTTATGCATGAAATGTGATATCTGTAATCCATTCAATTAGCAAAACTAAGAACCTTCTATGTCACCTCATCTGAAAGTGTTATGAGAAGTTCTGAAATGAATGGGACCGAGGGCACGGACTTACCTTTAAAAACTGAGGTGTTGCCAAACGAACAGTCGCAACGAAGCAGATCTGCTTTCCCAGGGACGTTCTGTAAGCCCTCGGGACAGCCTCGTCAAAGCCATTGCAAGTGGAGTTAGGCACTAGGTAGGGGAAAAAATGGGACCCGGAATCATGCCTCATATAAGATTTTCTCTCCCTGAATATTTTGCACGCTTGAAGCCTACTAATACTATTTTTATTCAGAGAAGTGTTCTAAAAGCTTTTAAAGCTGATATGCATATATTTAAATCCAAGTCAGTCATGTTAGTCAGAAAGACATCAGAGCTTAACTTCAAGTATGAATTTTACAGGTTAATCCTAATAAAAATAAGGCCAAACCTTATTACAGAGCACAAAGCAGTTTTCTGGAAAGAAACTCCATCCATCCAACTGCTCTTTTTCACCACTCACAAGAAAAAAATATATGCTGCAGCATGCCTAGCACCGTAACTTCTACAAGGCAGTGAAAAAATGCACTGGCAAGGGAGGTAGCTTGAAGAGAGTTCATCAAGTCATCAGTGGCAAAACACTAGGGCCCACAGCCAGCAAGGCTTCATCGAGCTAGTAAGAGGCTGCTTGTGATTCTTGGCTGCTGAAGAGTGCCTTCCCCTCCTGCATCTAAGAAGAACTGTCCCCAGCGTGCTCAAGTTCTACTTGTTTTAAAGAAGACAAAAAGGGACCCTGTGCATGGCTTCCAGAGATGGGCATATTTGGCAAGTCTGTAGGTGGCCTGCTGTCTCCTGAGACAATGGGTGGAAGGAAAAGGTGGACGTGATGTGGCTACACACTTTGTGTATGTTTTTTTATTTGTGTATTTCATGACTGCATGGCTCTTGTGTTGCTTTGAGAGCCACTAGCACCTCCTGCCACAGAGATGTGCTGCCAAAAGAAAGTGTTGCCTTAAGCCAGCCCACAGTCCCATGTTAGAATGACAAAAAGCAAATTCTTCCTCCAAGTTCAAGCTGTTTAGAGATGGTAATCCCACTCCCACAGCTGTGAAAGAAAAGTGTGTGCCAAGCTGCAATGGGAACTGGCTCTTGCCCTGCTCAGCCAACTATCTCCCATGGGGGCAGAGAAGGTCCTATCTAGCAACCAGAGTTCACCAATGTAAGCTAATCTAATGCTAATAGGAATTAATGCTAATATGAAATTATCTTTCCTTACTATTAGGCCCCTTTATCCAACTTTATGAAGTTTCCTACAGTTTGTCTCTTCTGCACAGGACAAAGCATTACTGTGAAACTGAAGAGTTTTGTAGCTATCTGGGGAGGATATAAATAGCAATTTTTATCCTGAGGTGCTTCTGCACTGGGCTTTAGTTCACTAGCATAAACTGTAGAGATGGAAGAAGTCTCAATTTATCACATTTGTTTTTGGAACCCAGTTCAACCTATTAAAAGCCTTGGAATATTGATACATTACTGGTAACAAGGATAACAGGGTAGGAGATGAAAAATAAGTACTCTAAGGGGAATTCACACCTATGATTAACTGGTTTAGACCACTGTGTGCACAACATATAGTGCACCAAAAAGGGAAAGAAAGATTCCTCATCTGAGAAGACAGCACAGATGTGAACATGCACAGAGATTATAGCCCTCTCTTGTAGTTGAGTCTGGAGGGCATGGCCGACTGGATATTGAGATAAAAAATATGGAAAAAATTCTCCTCTTTTCACCAGCAAAGCACACTTGCTCTGGGGACTTCCTAGGAATATGTATTCCCATTTTGATCCTGGGGTTATGTGTACATATGTGAACTTCTATGGGATTATTAATACAAGGGGTGGATAAAAGGAAGAGTTAGGAGCTGCAGGAAACAGGAGAAGCCTGAGTAAAGAGCTATTGGTCCATCTCTGATATTATCATTTTGTGCAAGTCTGTTCATTTCTGTAGTCAGTCCTCTTTAATAAGGAATGGGAATGCTATAAACCCACACTATGGGCATTGTAAAAAGTTACTTCCAAGCTTACTATGTAGGATGTTGTCACATCTGAAGTCAAGGGGGCTGTTTCTCTCTGTAACAGCCAAGTTCAGTACCAAATGCTTGCAGGCTGGGCTCTTAAATATAAAAATAAGATAAGCACATTCAGCCTCTGAAGCACAGGTATGATAAATTAAACTAGTTAGCAAACCATGGGCTTCCAAATGACACCAGCTGTAGGAGAAAGCGGAGACTGAGTGAAAACTAAGTCACCAAAGAGAGCAGATAACTTTTTAATGTCAGCTGTTGGATGTAAACAGCCATGAGCCTGAGACAAGCAGAATACATCCTTGACTGTGGCATTTAAAAAACAGGATTATATTTCCAACAGGTAAATGTAGTACTAAAAGGGTAATAATTATGGTGTAGGACAGGTAGGTAGTGAATTTCAGATTTCATCACAACTTTTGAGAACGGTGAACTTAAGCAGGAGTGAATTAATAAGCCCAAGGAGATGAGACAGAGCTGGCCTGGTTGGAAGTCATCCTGTGTTTGAACAGCTCCTGTGCCATCTCCATACTCAGCTGCCTTTGACAAAGCCCAGAGCATTAAAAGCCTCAATGATGCAGGCAGGTAGCCACCACCTTGCAAAGTACATCTCCATCTGAAAATGACAACTACAATAACTGAAAGAAAAAAACCCATTCACATTTGCTTCTGATTATTTTTTTTGTATCTGTTCTTTCCTCAGCTCTATCTGCACAGCCTGTTTTGCTCTGCTTTTGCAGTTGGTCAGCAAATTTCAACTTTTTTTTGTTGATAAGTTTTGAAGTGTAGTTAAAAAAAAAGATAATTGCAATAATTAAAAAATTATAATCCTAATAATAATAAAATATTAGTAACGAATATTATAACATTAATATATTGATAACTAACAATAATAAAATAATATCATAATAAAAATATAAAACTTTTAAGCATGCCTTCTGAAAAATTATACTTTATAATTCTCCAAGTCTCTTTAAAAGAAACACAACATCTTGAGATAGCAAAGTTCAGTAGCAAACTTTCTGAGAGTACCACAGAAGAAGAGTGGAGTGAAAAATACAGGATCAAGCCTGAGGCTATGATGATATTAACATTTTTAAGTCCAATACAGGGCTTGGAGTGCTTCCCTCAGAAGATGCCTGATGAAGATGTTAAACTGGCTATAAACAGGTTGGCTTGGGTAAATGAGGGCATATGTGTTTCACAATTAAATAATCTGGAGAAAATATCTTGAATAGGGAATAAGTAGGTAGCGTGACAAAGCTAAATACATTATCAAAAAGGTGAAAAAGTTGTCTCAAATATATCAGTCAGCTGATGCTCCTTAGCATGAATTTTAATAGTTTTTGCCATTACCTATCACACCCGCTGCTCCTACAGCTACCACAGAATCTTTCATAGGAGTATTAAATACCCACAAATATCTCGTAAGATAGAAAGAAGCTGATATGCCTATATAATTTGTTTTTAATTGTTGCTGTTTTGTTTTGTTTTCAAAGACCAGGACACTGAGGACAGAACGTTAAAAATAAATAATATATACAAGGAACCAAACCCTTAACTAGCACAGACAAAAAGATTTTTATCCTTAGGGATACAAATCATGCCACCTGAAATGAACGAAAACATTTTTAGAAAACACCACATGCCACTTTATTCAGTTAATAATGGTGCAGCAGTCAGTTGCTTGGTCATCTTATTTTAACATAGAATGTGTAAAACATAATCTTCCCAAGATAGCAAGCCTCCCATTTATGCTATTTAAAAGAAGAAATCCCTCCTTCCTATTTTGTCAGTAGATGTTAATCTTTGAAGAACCAGTTTTAGTGACTATCAAACAAACTCAACAGTGATTTCAAAAAATACAAGCCAAACAGACCAGAATAAAATCAAGATTGTTTCATATAAATAAATTCAGACCACATATAAACAGAATATCCATCAATTAATATATATAATGAAGAAATCTAAAGTGCTGGTGGCAAGCCAGACTGCCCACAGTAGCTTTGGATGAGTAACAGTGACAGTGTCCATACCTCACCTGTCTACTTTGATCTCCTCTCTCCACTTTCCTCCTCCTGTTTCTCCCCTTGCCATCGTGTGTTGATATGAATCCCAAGTAAATTCTTTAGGACAGGAATGGTGTCTTTTTCTTAAACACCCATAGAGACCCTAGCATGAATGCTGCATATTGTTAGTTGCAGCTTCTATGATATAAAATAGCAAATAGGCAGCTGTTGGTTCTGATCAAAACATTCATTTTGGATTGAGCTATTCTTGTTTTAGATGTTTCTGCACATACTTTGAGGGCTCAAGATCAATGTCTCTCCTGTATAAATCTGTTTATTTCTTTTAAAAAGGAATTCAGATTGAATTAATTGTTCTGGGAATTAAAAGACTTCTTTTCTCCTCAGCATAATAATTATCTTGATGTTTATTCTTATATCTGAGAGAGATATCAGCTCACAGTAGAGTATCTGCTATTATTAGCATTCAGTACCAGATACTTCTTGAGTTTCCATGTAACTGGGAACAAAAATGCACAATTTTAAATTCCACTAGAATATTTTATTATATTACTTATTAGGAACCTTTTTTACATAATGGTTATCTCCTCCTTCAAGAGAAAAACTTCAGGCATTTTGGATGAAAGGACAGATACATCACTTTAAAGATGCTGGTGGTCCTTTTTTGTATTAGTGAACTCTTTGAAAGGAAGGACTCCGTCTTTGTCCCTTTCAGGAGTTTTGAAGCAAGTATGTCACCTCAGAAATAGGATACCAATGCCAATATTTGGATATATAATTATGAAAGATCTTTGTCTGTTTACAAACGTATAAACAATTTTCACAGGAGGGATAAATCCAGCCTGTCTTATCATTTCTTATCAGAGTAAGCTATTAAGCGGCTTTGTAAAATTTATTCTCACTAAATTTGACATTTTATACTGGAAGCTAAGCACTTCCTTGGATTTTTGGGAAGGGTTATCTTTTTTACTTGCCTTCCCCCTCAGCCCTGAGGCAAAACTGGATATGAGCCACTGCATTATTCATTGGTGATGCTGATACCACTCTCTCCCTTATCAGGTACTACTAGTCAGTAGGTACAGTGATGGCACTTGGCTCCTCAGATGTTTGCATACATTCATATCTCTTGTTAAAATGTAGGCTACAGAACCAGTACCTGAAATATATAAAAATATTGGAAAGAGTTTCTATTTGCAAATAAAACAAAAGCAACTCCTATGATCTGAGAGCAAGCAGGCATTTCTCACAGAAGCAAGAAGGAACTCCACTGGCCCATGGGCCACCTCCTCTCTTCTCAAGGGACTACTGAATCTTCACATCAGGTTACAGTCCTGCTTTTCTCATTGAAGCTTAATTAATGATGATTATATAATCCTCCCAAATGGAAAATCAAATCTCTTGTATTTGATTTAGCACAGCCAGTGACTCATGCAGTCACTCTGCTCAGCTCGCATTGCTGTTTCGCTGGTCGGCTGCTCTCACTTGGGCACAGCTAATTCAAGGGGGATTCATTCGTGCAGGCAGCTCGTGTCACATCCCTGGTGTTCTGCGGCAGGGGTTACAGAGTACAGCTTCCCCAGGACTAGGCCAAGTGCGGACCTTCTTGCTGACCCTGGCACTGGACTGTGCAGCTCCTCTAGCCCCCACCTATAGATGAGCCCTGAAGCTCTGGGAATAGTGATCTTCTGAAAGACTGAAAACATGCTGTGAACTATGTGAACTTTCCTGGGCAATTTCTAGGGTCTCTACATGCAAGTCTCTGGTTCTTCTAGGACCAGGGAAGATGCCAGTGACTGCTCCTCTGTGGGAGTAGCATGAGTTCGATCTAGGCTGTGTGTGCTCTGGCTCCCTGACAGCAAATCTGGTAACAAGTCACCTTGGCAGATATCAGGTATTTGTTCTAGTTCAGCATGAAAAAAATTATCTTTGGCATCTTAGTACAATGGCCTTTAAAGCCCCAGAGCTCCCATTAAAGTTAGTGAGAGCAGCTAAGCCCCTAACTGGCTTTCTAAGCCTCAGTCCTTCAAATTAATCCATTCAAACCCATCCCTATATGATGTTCTCAGCCATAAGTCACAATGTGATTAAAGGAGAAGGTATGAGGGAGGAAGGAGGGGGAAAGGTGACTGGGAACCCATGAGCATGACCCCCTTCCCCCAAGCATCACCACTATATGAGCAATGAACAATAATATAATGAGCCAAAGAAGATGATAATTCAAGGGAGGTTACATAAAAGGTTATGTGGAAGTGGAATAAAGCTAGTGACATTTCTGTTAAATAGGGCAAAAGAGGACCTACAGTTCTTAAAAACATTAGCAAAGGTTAAGTGAGAAGGAAAGGTGAAAGATTTGCTACGGCTGTTACTGCCACAACCCCTACATTAATGACAATGGAATAGCTAAGTATCCTGATGGGATACAGCCTGCCCAGGGATAAAAGAAGTTCCCTGGCCACAGAGGCTCTGGTGTCCCTGCAGCAGGAACATGCAGGCAGGGTGGACTCAGAGTATGCTCAGCAAACCATTGAAAACAAAGGCGGGATTTGGCATTGGGCGGCTAAAAAGGAACAGCAGAGATTTGTGTTTAGAGAACATTCTGTATCAGTCTCCCATGTGTAAAAACATGCTCACACTTCCACTGCTCTGAAAAGCTATAGGGAAAAACATTCTTGAATACATTCATAAGGAATGTCTCCTGCTAATTAATCTTAATTTGCAATTTCCTTCATTCTCCCCCAGCTAACTCTTTTCTTATCTTTAGCTTAGCCTCCTTCCTTCACAAACACCTCCAAAAAGCAGGATTTGGGGCCAGCTGATCCTGTGCACATAGGACAAGTGCTGCCCCGAGTGCTATGTCTCTCCTACCACCCTTCCCACCACTGTCTTTCTCACCCACTTGGCTCACACCAGGAGGAGGGGTGACTGGAGAATGGGTATTTATTTAACAGGAGGAAGAAGAGGGCAATTGCTGTCAGGTCCAGCAGGTGACACCCCTGAGGTGCATGGGCTGGGTGAGATAGTGCCTGACAGTGGGACATCCTTGGGTGTGTGTGGGCCAAGCAGGGGTAGGAACCCAGCCCACCAGTGCACCCACCAGATGCTCAAAGGTGCCTGTACCATAGGTTCCTGTGCCAAAGCCCCTGTATCAAGAGGTGCTTGCCTCCAGCCCTGGGGCTGGAAAGCTGCCCAATGCACGGCTGCATTCATATGGTCCTCGCTTGAGCTGACGTCTTCCATGTCTTGCTCAGGTGCATCTGGCTGATGCAAGGAGCCCAGTGGATCCATTGACAACTGCCTCGGAGGTTTGCACCCTTTTCTGGCTGCTTGCTCTGTCCTTGGCCCAGGGTTATCGGCTCCCAAGCAAAGAGAGTTTACTGCTGCTACATCATGAGTCTGGTGCCTTTGCTTCCACCTTTGCTGAGAGGTGGTTTTGTGGCTGGATTAGGAGCTAAGGGAGGGACAACACAGAGGCAGCCACAGGGACAACTCCCAGTCTAGGGGGAGCAGTGCTGCGGACACACTGGTGAAGCAAGTATTTTCATCAGGCTCTGCACTGAACTGGCAAAACTAAAGTCAGATGGCAAGGGAGCCAGGAGGCACCATCTCACAGACCCAGGGTGAGGGTTGTCCCCTCCCTGTCAGCTGGAGAGTCAGGCTGCAGCAGAGATGGAAAGAAAGTGGAAGAGACAAAAGAAAATGGAAGTTTTAGAAAAAGTGGCACAAAGGGGAAAAAAAGAATTTGAGGCAGAAAGCACACATCTTATTTGAAAGCTATAAGATGGGATCTTTGGAAAATGATTTGGCGCCTTCTGAAATCATTATGTTCCCATTTAGTTTATATGCATTAAGCTAGGGAAGATATCTATATTGCAAGTTTTATCTTTCTTCTGAGAAAAAGCCACTATACAAATGTTGGGATATGAAATCCTAACGGATAAGGGGGCAATATTAAGGTCATGCCAAAATAAAAGGCTGAAAAGCCTTGAAGAAAATGGATCAGAAATTCCCCTGGTAAAAATGTATCCTTATGAGTCAGCACCTGAAATCTGGTTTCTGCTCTAGAAAACAGAACAGCTTGCTGTGTGCGTCTGTCAGGCAGGCGCATTTCACTTCATTCAAACTAGAAAGCATACAGGCAGTTACAATTTTTTATACAAATAGAGCCTCGAATCAGATGGCACAAAACAAGAAACACATATCTCCATCCTGCACGTAGGTTTCTATTCTAGTCATGTGGAGCAAGAGCAGAAAGTTAAATGGGGACAGGGACATTTTTTTCACAGTGTGGCGTGCAGTTTTTGGAAAGCACGGTGGGGAATTTTTTTGCAGAGGATGACCTATTTGGAACAATACCAGCAACGCTGGACATGCCACTCTGGAGTTCAGTCAGGCAAGTAACTAAAGCAAACTTGGGCAGGCAAGAGAAGGGAAAGCAATAAAAGAGTATTTAATTTCTGATATTAATGGCCATGCAGCAATCTCTTTGTTAGGGAATGGGTAAGGTGGAAATCTGCTCTTCATCCCTTGAAAGATGGTTTCCCTAGACTGACTGTGGTGCATTAGCAACTATGCTGACTGTACTTTTTTCCTTTTTGTGGAGAGTGTTGGGTTCTGCAGTGCTCAAGAGGAATATAAAATGGCAGCTGGGGAGGGCAGTGGATGGATGGCAGTATCCTCAGCTGTTCCGATGCCACGTGGCACTGCTGCCTTTCTCCAAGGTTTTGCAGAGAAGGGTGAGAGGGCAGGTTTGGCAGATTATCAGTTCTGGCACAGAATCTGTGTTTAATGCAAACCAGCAGATGCTAGGTAGCAAGCTTATTATTTTGCTAATAGGTGGGGTCTTAGCACACAGTCTTAGCGAGCACAAACAAATTCTCCTCTAAACCTGTCATTATTTGCGAACTTACCCAGACACCAGGATCACTGCAAGTGAAGGGCAAAAACAAAAGCAACTAACACAGTTTCAATCGTCACATGTATTCATCCAGCTATTGCAACTCAGCCATGAGATCCGTGTGAAGCAAAATTTACCCCAATGTTAAAAATAGTTCTTTCAGTTAAAAGCCTGTCTTGTTCAATGGAGCAATACTTATATTTTATTTTACACAGCTACAGTAACATTTATACAACAATTAAAGCTTACCATTGCTGTAAGACCGAAAATTTCCTACAAATTTTATGTATTCATATGTTGGAAATTCCTTTGGGTTCAAACTTCCTCTCAGAAGATGACAATAAAACTCTAGTTCATTGTCAGCTGGATTGTTAAAAGAAGAAGAAGAAGAAATAAATATACTAATTAAGCTAAACACAACCAATGGTGTCTTCCAACCCCAATCTTGCAACTGGCAGCACAAGAGCAGCTTGTTACCACTCAGGAGTCCTAAACACCAATGTGCTATACATTGCAGGATCAGAGCCTCTGCAAGGAAGCACCTTGCAGGGATGCAGGTTGTTCAGCACTGTGCATGGGCCTGCCTGCAGCTCAGGGACAGCTCTGGAGATTAACTTGCCCTTCTCTGACACTACCTTCATCACAGGAGTTACACAGCCATAGCATCAGTGCGCAAAGGAGAGAACTGGATCCTTCACTTAGTGCTTTTTTTCTATTTAGGCTTTTCAAAACTCACAGCTGTTCTACATCTTGTGTTGGAAAACTACGCCTAATTACCTCAAAATATCTATTACATTAACTTCGGTGTATTAGCTATCAGCAGTAGGTTTCATACAATACAGTAGATTAAGCAGCTGTACATCTTACATTATTGTGTGTTTTCTGGTTTCCTACATCTTACCTCCCAGAGTGAATAAGGATGAGGCAGTAAAAACATTTTTAAGAAAAAAAAAATTCAAATTGAAAAGGAATTACAATTATTTTAGAAATATGTTTCAACTATAAGGCAAAACAAAGGTATGCAACATTGGCATATCTCTGAACAGCATCTCATTTGAACAGGCTGAAATATCAATTAAGATGTGATTTGTCTCATGTGAACTCTCACTTTCCATGGGCTAACCTATTTTCCTTAGCTGTCTCAAAAGATATGATATTTAATAATTAACATAACTGCAAGTAGTCTTAGCCCAGTAAAATAAAGGCAATGAGTTTCATTTAAAAATAGAACCAAAGGGTCATTCCAGGTGGCAAGATCTTTTTAGAAGGCTATGAACCTAATTTTTTTATTGCACATCACATAAAAAATTCTTTCTCAGAGAAAATTTTTATCCTGCCCATGCTTTTTCATTTACTAGAGAAGATAAAATAAAACTTACTTTTTAGGTAATCCGGTGAGGCAGAATCTGTCATAAGCATACAAGAAGATAACATCTTATAAATTTCTGAATGTTCTTGTTCTGGGAGGAAATTCAACAAATTCTGATCCAAGACATCACACTGTAAAGAAAAGAACTTTTGAGACAAACAGAAATATCACAAGCAACACTTGCAGAGATGCGCAACAAGGTGGATACGCCTGTGGCATTCAACGGGAGTTTCCCCACTGATTTCCAGGGACTCCTGACAAAGCCTAAAATGAGGAAAACTGCTGGGCAAACCGAGTGGCCACTTCTCTGTAGGCTGGTTGTCAGGTTAATTCTCAGCACTGAGCAATATTTAATGTTTCTCAGAGACCATGAGATGCATCAGGTATGTCCATGCCATTAAATGATGAGACCTGAGAGTGAGTTGGAAAATGGCTGCCTGGCTCCCCATACTGCTCACCAACTCCATGCACAGGCCTGCTGTGGATCATTGGAGCTTGTTCTCTCCCTGCCAGACCCTGACTGGCAGAAGCAGTGAGGCTGGGAGTCATCCTGAGACACCGGTCCCAAGAGCTGAGTTAGTCCTAGATCCAGCCCCTTCCTGGGGGTATCTCCTCAGCTCCTGGGAAGTGCCCTTGGGGTGGCAGGCCTTGCTTCCCACTTCCTGCATCCTGGCAGGTGGGAGCAGGGAGAAGGGGACCCCCCAGTCTGGACATCACTTTACAGCAGCAGCAGTTAGTCCCCAGAGAGGGGGAATTCATGGTGTCACTGGGACAAGCCCTCTGGACAGCCACGGGCTGAATGTCCATGTGTCTCCAGCCCCACTATCAGCTGGCATGAACCTGAAATTCCTTCAAAACTTAGCTGCTAAGATTTGAGAATGGAAAGAGGAAATGGATTTGTGCAAAAGGCCCAGACTGGAGAAGACAAAGAGTCTGTCACAGGGCTGCCAAGAGGAAGGTCTCACTGTGCTCAGCATGGTGACTAACCTAACACTAGAAGAGTGTATCCTGAAAGGAAGCCTGAGATAAAGTGACCCTCTAATAACATTGACTTAAATCCATCCCACTTGAGACCACCTCAGCCTGAGCTGGCACACTGACACAGCTTTGTGTGTCATCAGAGCAGCTGATATCAGACTGTATAGTCATACTGAAAACGTGTAAGCTCTGTATGAGACTGGCAAGTTATTAATCATCATCATTTATTTATGTAAGTTTGCCCTTTGGTTTCCCTCTGCTTTCTATCCATAACTGCTGTTCTGGGTAGAATTCCCGTTTAGTGTAGTGAAATTCATCAAGTATACTTTAAAAATTAGAGTGCTACGATTTATATACTTACCTTGATGTGACAGTATTTCACTTTAGATGATTCAGTATTAAGTATTTATTACATGTGCTCATTACTTGAATATTCCTTTTGAGAAGAAACCCTGCCAGGGACGTCCTGGTAAAGCAGGCAAGAAACCGCATATTTTTGGAGTCACAGGGTACCCTCTGGCTGGCGAATGCTATGAGTTGTGACTATATTTCCAAGAGTACACTTCAACTGGAGTCAACCTTATCATGTGAGCTACATCTCTCTACCTCAACCGACACTAGGACTAATACCAGATCTTGTTGAAACAAATTATTTAGAATTACAACAGGGAAAGTTTGTGTTTGAAAATGCTTCATGGAACTTATGGAAGCTGTATCAAAGAAAACTGGATATGCTTGCTGTCAGCCTCAGAGACTTACATGATTTTAATGAAAGGAAATACATCAGATTTCTTGATAGGGGCCCTCAGAGAGCCCTGCTTTGTGTACTGCCCAGTTTTGCTTTTTTTTTTTTTTAATTGCTTAAAGCAGAAGATTTGCAGAGTATTTTTTTCCCTGTTGTCACAGAGGAGAAGAATTGGTATTTTGTTCCTCAAACAGTGACTGAATTTAGCTTACAAACAGATCCTGGAGGTAAACAAAATAAGCCACACAGATTTTCCAGATAGGACTCGTATCAGTTATAAAACTTAAAAAAAAAACATATGGAAAGGGCAACAGAGGATTCAAATACCCAGTGTGCATCTAACTGCACCCTCAGCTGAGCACCTGCCCATGGCCATGGTGATCTGCCGACCTGAGGCAGGCAGAAGCCTTTCTTGCTTGTTCAGTTGCAGTCTGTCAGGTTGGTTCCTGACTTGGGCTGCCATGTGCTGCTTTTAGGCAAATAAAAAGTAATGTCCATCTTCATCCTTATTTTGGGCTGGATACCGTGTAAGGTTATCACACAAGGCATGTCTTTGGGAGAGAAAATTGATATAGTTTCTGATGGTCCAACTCGGGAATTATGAACCTGAATCTATCCATTTTCAGTCAGGGCTTAAGATTTTAGGTACAGGGTTGGAAACGCATCTTCCTAAAGAGGAATGCTTTCCCACAGCAGATCTACCGTCTCCTGTAAGAATCAGTATTTGGAAGGGATACCAATGAAACTGAAACCACCAAATGATGAAAGACAAGGACATTTCATGGAAATCAGTAAGTGCATGAAGACCCCACAGCCTGTATGCAGGACAGAGCCCTCCCCACCTTTGAAGTGAAGGCAAATGTCAGAAAATAGTCAACTACTGGTCTTCTCAACTGTTGAGGATGAAAGAAAACTGAAATAGATAGATTCAGTTCAACATGTTGTTGCATAGCAATATTCTTACATTTACCAGGAGCTGTTGCCTTTCATCAAGTTCCTTTTCTCTCAGAAGAAAGTAATTTTTGTTCATATTACAGCAAGGTAGTGTGTGTGAAATACATTTGTCTGGGTGGGAAACGTAACACATATTTGGTGAAAAAATAAACAAGAGAAAAAATTCTAATTTTCTTAAGAACATGGCAGGGGGTAGTACGACAATAATTTGGCAGCTATTTTTTTTCTCCTGGGCATGTATTTATTTGAGACTAGGACATAAAAATGAGCATGAAGATTAATCCATAATTATTATGTCATTTCTCCTAGAGCAGTCTTAGCAACAGGGAGCAGTCTCTCTCATCTGCTCCTCCAGCCCAAGCCAGTGCATGCAAGTGTCTCCCACAGCAGCACCCAGCAGCCCACAGATAAAACAAGCTGCTCATGTTGGACTGAGCACCAGTTTGACCAAGGTATAGGTGCACCATGCATTCAGTATTGGATCCACCAGCACCTCCTGGGAGCAGGGTGTGTTCCCCTTGGGAAAGCACAGCTGAGATGCGGGGAGAGCTTATTAGCAGCCTCCGGATAACTCTGAATTCAATGGGGTTTTTGTCCTTTACCTCTCTGGGAGCAGAATAAGGCCCTTAACAAGCTCCTTGCTGGGCTGCCAGCACCACTGGTGCTATTCTCTCCTAGCTTAGAAATCAGAGATGGAAAAGATCAGCCAGGTCACCCTGTCCCTCCCCTGGCCAAACTATTCCTGCAGAGCTTTTTCCATTCAAGCTGAAGTGCCTCATAGCAACAAAAACCTGAAGGGTATGAATCAGAGAGTAGAGCTGAGCAACAGCAGCAGCCACAGGGAAAAACTCCCTCACCGCATTTCCAGGAAAACTCCACCCCCAGCACCCTTTTGCATCTGTTTCTAAAAATGCAGGACCTGATTCTATGATGTGTAGTAGAAAAAACAATGCCAGAATTACTCACCGGTAAATGCCCTAGAAGAGGTGTGATGCTGTCAGACACATAGATGATGCTTCCACCTGTAGTTACTGCTATAATGAAGCCATCTAATGCCTAAGGAAAACAGACAAGTGGAGGGTGCTTTAACAGGAATGACTGGTGTAAACAGACATCTCACTGTGTGTTGATCAAAACAATTTCACTTCAGCACCATATTGTTATCAAGTTGTAGGAATGTTATCTCGAGTTGCAGAACAGTAATTCTCTGATTTTACAGTCTGATTTAACTTTTACAAGATTCTTTGTAGTCTAGTAAAACCTACTATTGAAGTAACAAAGGGCTCACAGGAACATTTCATGTCTCAGTTTTTAAATTAATCACACATTTTAATAATGCAAAATGACTAAGACTGGATCCCTTGGAAGTTATTAAAATGAACATTTGAGCTCTGTGTAAATATCAAAGGACGATGAAAGGATGCAGTCCTATCTCAAAATGGTACTTCTCTGCAAACCCCATAAATCTTGGTTTGTATTAATGTAATGTTGTATATTACTGGGCTTTCATGTAAGTAAAAGCAATGCAAATGATCAAATAATCCTTAGCCTGAGTTTTAATTGAGTGATTTATTTTAAAGGTCATGGTATTAGATTACTCATTCCAAGAGAAATTCACTCTTCTGCAGAGTTTCTTCCTCGCTTCGGTCCCACCTTGCAGTAAGCCCCTTCATTTCTAGGACTGAAGGGAAACATCAGCCTTATCCCCACCCTCTGTACAGCAGCAATTTCACCTTCAAAATTAGGCTTTTCTTTAGTCTGAGCTGCTAAGTTTTGAGCTCGGTGTTGTTCAGAGTTAAATCTATGTACATTTTGAGATCTAAAGCAAGATTCACTTAATTTTGGGAGGGGGATTCTCCTCAGAGTGACCTAAAGCAAGATGAACTTTAGATCACTCAGAGGAGGACACCCCAAAAAATTAAGACTCCATAATAAGTGCTCAGAGAACTTTCCCTTAAAACCTTCCCATTGTCATTAGGGAGTCACTGATTAGGCTTCCAATTGTTCAAGTGGAGCAAGTCTGGGGCCTTTCTGTCAGTTCCCTGGTGTTCTGGAGTCGGTGCTGCCAGCAGTACTTGAGCAGCAAAGGCACTGCAAGCACGACTGAATCAGAGCAGAGTTCAGCTGTAATCCAGTGGCAATATCTGCTCCGGAGACAGGTGTACTGCAAACAGCCTGATCAGGGTGCCACAGCATTACAAAACCATACTGCAAATCCACACCTGACCCCGAGCCAGACTAGCAGTTGATCTTGTAAAGCTGCAGCACATCCTTCCTTTCCCCCCTCCTCCCCGCTGACTTCAATAAGGGAAAGAATTCTGAGAACACTGGAAAATGCTAATTGTTTAAAAAAAAAAAAGAAAACACAAAGCCTTGAATAGACACACAAACATATGTTCCTTTTTCCAGAGAATGCTGAGCACCCACAACTATTTAAGTCAATGGGAATCTGCTGGTGCTTCAATCCTTTGAAAAGCAAGTCAATAACTTATACCCCAGTAGAAGAGTGTGTGTTTAGCATCTCTGAAAACCCTCCAGCTGCTATAGTTAGTTTCATTTTGTTAATCTAAGTACAGAGAATATGTTTTTCTTTAGTGTGGTACATTCAAGCTGTTTTCTAAAAAAGCATGATAGCTGTTAACCTGTAGAAGAGAGCAATGATTTTACACGACAGTTGGATTGTGCATGTTACTATGGTGAAGGTTGTTAGTTTTTAAAAAGTCAAGTCTTTATTTCATATCCAATGCAAATTATACAGTGACTCATATCAGAATTTTGTGGTAAAATCAACTTAGTGTATGTATACATAATTCTATTTTTATTTACTCACGACTGGACCTTCCAACCTTAAGAGGGCATATCCCTCTTCAAAGATTTCACTGCTGCAATAGCCCTAGATGGACAAACAGAGCCCAGTGCCCACTCTTCTGTAATGTGATGACAGCCTTTTCAATGGGGTAAGAAAAAGCCACTTTCAGGAAAGCTGGTGTATTACTGCAGTCAATTATGCTCTGATTATTTTGAATTAGTGCTTGGAAAAAACCCTTCCCATCTTTTAATAACAGGATGGGAAAAACTTCAAGCGGTCTTGTCCAAATGCTAATAAAATTAGATTAGTAGAAAGACAAAATAGCAGGGAATGACGAACATCTGGCACAAGAGGACATCCCAATACCCAATGTTATCCTGAAGGGCATGGAAAATCACAGTAGCAAGAAGGTGATTTATAAGCTGGGAAACAAAAGTGATTGTTTCATCTAAAATTTCGTAGCATACAAGTAGAATCAACAAAGGCCCTGCCCGTCAAAACAACTGCCAATTTATTGCTATCTGAGGGACATATTTCAGTGCAGACTGAAGGAGTTATGTATTTTAAGTTCCTGTGCACTGAGATGGGAATGGGTGGTTGTCAGAGCAAGGGGAGCAAAGTGCCTTATAAAACTAGACCAGGGGAGTCTCATCACAACAAACTGCAATGGCCAAGGGACTTCCAGCCCCTGGGAGCAGCAATGTGCCCCAGCTTTATGCAACCCCTTGGTGGGTGAAGGTGCTTCCCAACATCCTTCCCTCCCCACTGCCAGAGCCTGGATCATGTCCCATATTCATATCATTTGTGGGAGGAAGAGAAGCTTGTTCTCAAAGGACACCGTGGGGCCATGAAACCTCCATGTGTTTAGTACAGGAAAAGATCCTTGCTAAAGATGATTTTAGCTGTTACTGACAGAGAAAAATACATTTTAGCAGCTCATTTGCATTTCATTTTGAACCTACATAATCACCATTTGGTTACATCCCTTCAAATCCCAGCTAGCATTAAAAGGACCTATGGTATAATTTAAAAACCATCATTGCAAAATGTTAGAATAAAAATTGTGTGATAAGGGCATTGCAAATCAGAGTGGAAGCATCAACTGTATCAAACCAAGAGTAGCTGTTGGGCTTTATCTGCTAGTACAGCATCTAGCACTAGGGGGATGCAGCACTGTTGCTTTTTAGGTGCTAGCCTTGCATAAATATTAGGTAATAATAATGCCTTCCAAGAACAGGAGAAAAATTGCCACATGCTCTTCACCTCACCTCTGCTTGTAAAAATAAAATACAACCTGTAATTTGAATCTTTCCCCTGGATCGCACTTCTTGAGAGTTGCTACACAGCTTAGCAGACTGCAGCAGCGCGGTGCAATGGCACCGATGAGAGTGAAGAGCAACAAGTGAGGACTTTAATCCCTTGTCCTGGTGATAGCTCTGCTTGATGGTCAAATACAGCAGTACCTGAAACCTCCTCTTTTGGAACTGCAGATGACAGTTTATTCTAGATGCATGGGTGTTTCCATGACTGTTAGACAAAATTAGGAAAGGTATATATTCATGTTCACCTCCAACATCAGCTGGGTGAATTCTTCATTGCTGAGAAATGAAGGCTTCCAGTCCTGCTGAATTTCAGAAATCTCCGTCTGTGCTGAGACTTCTAGACAAATAAAACATTTACATCTTTAAAATTTAAATTAACTTCTATCTTGCAATAACAAATATGAATTGCTATGAAAAGAGAGAAATCACCTTTACATTCAAAAATTGCAGTTTTCAAGCATGGGTTTTGCATACGGAGACAGTAATGACTATCTAAACTGGCCCCAATCTTGAAATGCTTTCCTCATTTTTTACTCAGGTCAACTTATACTGACTTCAGTGGGAGTCTGTATTCAGAAGGCCATTGGCCTCAAGCAGCATTACTGGGGTATTAATCAAAAGATAAAACCACTTTGCATGAAATTAAAATCAAGGCAAGTATTAGCATTTGTCAAATTGCTATTTACAATTTTCCAGTTTCAAAATTAGGATTCTGGAGAGGGTTCAGCCTATAGCTTCTGTGACAAAGAAGGAGCAGCAAGAAAACTTCTTCAGAGGAGCCCCAAAGGGTGATGAGCCCAAACAGCAGAGCTCTTGCTTTGTTTTCCAAAATGTGAGAGAAACATGAGCATTTGCAGCAGCTTTACACTGTTGCTAATGCCACCACTGCCTCTTGTGCCTACCTCCAGCCCCACCGTGCAGGGCAGCCCAGGAGAGGGAACGGATCATCAGCCTCTCATCCCAAATCCTGTCTGGAGGGCAGGGTCTCCTGCGCTGTCAGCCCGTGAGACACCAAAGGGTGGTCTGCCCTGTTGTTGGCCAATCCTGACCCCACAGCAGCCTGCAGAGGGCTCGCTCCCTGAGGGCTTTCCGTGAAGGGGTGCAGGCACACTGGGGTAACAAGTCACAACTTCGCGCCGAAACTGGGGACTATACTGGGGGTAGCCGTTTCCTTTGGAAAACAGTCACTCATGTTAGCTCTGCCTTAGTAAGACAGGGTTATGGGGGACAGATCTTAGAATTTAGAGAGACTAGAGCTGGTTTAGTTAGCTGCTCGCTCTGCTTCTCTAAGAATGCTTCCTCACTCAGCTGTAGTAGTGAGGAACAGTGAGCACAGACTGTCTTCTCCTTTCAGCACTGCCTGCTAATTAATCCTACTGATTAACACTTCCAGAGCATGTAATACCCAATGCTCCATATTCAGAGCACATAGGCAAACTGGCCAGAGAAATGCAAATGGATAAATAATACTAAAGACAGTACATTATATGAGTGCCTGTGCATTTTGTCACCTCGAAAGAAGTCAAAACCTCCGTTCAGGCTGTATTAGTGGAGATGCAGCTGCCTGCTTTTACCAGCTCGTTTGACTCACTTTCTGCACTGCTGGGGGCTGTCACTGGTAGCACAGCAGCTCTCCACAGCTCCCATGGTTTTACACAGAGGTTTGAAAACCAGACTAAGGAAAAAGAGTCCATCAGATTTTTATTAGATAGTTTCAGAATATAGGATACTTTCAGCATATCTGTAGCTTGGAAAAGCTAATGTACATGAAACGGCGACTGTTGGAAGAATTACTTGAGATTTGGGAGATTCTGTGGATTATGAAGAAGGAGACTGTTTATGAAGGGAAAAATCTGAAAATTGACCTCCTCCTCCATTATGACTAAAATCTTGGTTTAGCCCACTAAATGAAAGGGAAATACGATTGAATAAACCAGATCCAAAGTACATGGAAGATAATCAACATTTTTAAATGCTGATGCTTTGTATTATACTGTGTGACTACTAATCTGGTTTAAAAATAGATAACATTTGCTTTTTTTAGCAAGTGCACAAAAACCAGTCACATTTTGACCCAATTGCTGTGGAAGGATTTGTGACTGTTAGCTTTCTTTTACCTAGTTGTTCTTCAAGAAAAAGTGCCTTTTGGAGTAAATTATTTGGGCCATCAGCTACATCTATCTATACTTATTCAAACCTTGTGTGATTGTTCTTTGCTTGGCTTTATATTTGAACATATGCACATCCTCCTTTACTCTGCCTTGGGCGGCTAAAAAGAAAAGATATATTAATACTGTCTATTTTAAAAAAATTATATACAATTATTAAACTTTGTCCTAGTTGTCCCTTCCTGTATAAAACCATAGGTTAATGGTTGGACTCAATGGTCTTAAAGGTCTTTTTCAACCTCAAAAAAATTCTATCTTGTCTGTGGCAAAAATTCATTTAAGGACAAACTGCACTCTAACAACAGAATCATTATAATTATTTCCTCAGTAATATTGACATTTGTGACTCCATTATGTTGGGAGTGATGATTATAGGAGTTTTTATAGTGTTTTCTGTTTCACCCAGAGTTCTCCAGGGAGTGCAGGAGGGAGGTGCTGCACGAGCAAAGGTGAGTCAGGTGATGTGGTGCATCAGCTCGTGAGACCCCTTTCTGCTTTGTGGGGCCCAGGCCATTCCTCAGAGTCACACATTGAAGACTCTTCCTCACAGGGGCATAGCAAGAAAGCCCCATTTTAGACCAGTGCCCTGATTTATAAGGGAGAACTGTTTCAACTGACTGCTGCTGGTGGATGTCCACACATCTGGAAGGCCACAGTGCACATTCCTCTCACTGAGTAGAAAATGGACCAAACAGACTAGATCAGCAAGGTCAGAAATCTCCTCTGCCTTCTGTGTAGGTACATTTCTAAGGGACCTGTCAATGCTGGAGCAATTTAAAAAATAAACTCCCAGCTTTCCGAGGCTGAGCTTTACTACTGCAACTGGATGCTGTGCAAATGTGATGTAGCTTCTGCTTGTGCAAACAGGGTGAAGCACGTCAGCTGTCTGTGCATGCAATTTGCTGAAGACAACTTCAAAAACTGAGGTGCTTTCTGTTCTGAGTTTTCTGCTCAATGTGGAAAATTGAGTCCCACACAGTCCACTGAGGAGCAGGGGTGCTGAACAGATTGCTTCCCTGCATTTGTCTGCAGAGAAGCTGGGGTGAATGCTTTGTTCTTCTGCTCAGAATACTGCAAATTTCAAGGAAGGGAATCTTCCCTCTGACCCCAAATCTCTCTTGCTCAAAGCATCTCTCTTCTTCATGTGTGCTGCAGGGCACTGCTACCCTCTTCCCCTCGCTGCCTGCCATTCGCCCCCTTCTCTAGCAGGTTGAGAATCATCTTCAACTAAAGAGCAAACAAGAAGATGGATTTGGGCAGCACAGTGTTTAGAAATTATCTTTCTTGATGCGACAGAAAAAAACCTAAACACCTTATGTTGGCACTTTTAGGTCACTCAAGCCATTCTGATAATCACTGAAGGAAACAAGATATTACAGTAACTGTCTAGCAAATGCATGAAGAGCTGCAGTAAATCTTACCATTGTGTTTCTGCAGAAAGCCAATGACTTTTTCCAGCACAGTAGTTTTGTCCATTTTGCGAGTGTTGCCTGGAAGCATGGAGCTGAGCTCTTTGATGAGAACATTGAACTGATCACGCCTCTTCTTCTCAGACTTGTTACGTGAAGCCCTGTAGACAGGGGAAAACAAAAAAAAAAGGATGAGCAGACCAAGATGAAAAATGATCATATACCTGCTCTTTGTAACGTAGACACAAAGAAATTAGCTTGCTGCATCCCTCAGCATGTGAAGACTGACGCTGGATTCCAGCAAAATTGCAGAGGAAAGTAGGAAACAGAAGTTCCCACCTCCTGTTCTTGCCTTTGAGCCACCTTTGGTATCCACTGGGGAGATGGAGGCTCTGCTTGCCCTTCTGTGCTGCCTCTGGACACTCGGGTTGAGCCTGTCAGATTAGCATTGAGCCTGTAGCTGAAGGAGCTCTGCACATCTCCTAGATATATGTAGGATCTTGAAAGTTCACGCAGCCTCTGAAGAGGCACTCGGAATGAGAAGAAATAGGAATACTGTAACAACAGTAAACTTGTTCATAAAGAAGACTGGGGACTGGATCATAGCCATCTGTGCAGTCTTAACCGAAGAGAGGGACCCCAGTCCTGCAGCCACTGCACTGGAGCTGGATTCACCTAGAGGGACCTCCCGCTTCAGTCACAGGTGGTCTGCCTACCTCCAGGCTGACAGAGAAGAATCAGGTTGTTGTGTTCCAGTCATTAAGATCAAGGACCTGACTAGAAGTTGCTGCAGCTCCCACCTAGTTCATATGCCACCTTGTTCATTCTCCTTTCCAAGGTCACATGGGTAAGCAGGACAGAGAGCATCAGCATGGCTCATTCCAGCAAGGACTAGAACTCAAGGCTAGGGTGTCTTCCCAGAGCTGGGGTCTCAGAAGTGCCAGAAGTGCTTGCTCTTAATCCCTGTGTGCCACTAGGAAAATCACTTAATATCATGGTGCCCTGAGTCTTTAGGTGTAAAACAAAGACTCTACAGCTTTCTTCACCAGTCTTGTCTGTTTAGCTCACAGACTCCTCAAAGAGAGCCTGCTTCTACTGCTGCATTTGAAGAGCTCACAGGAAAAAAGGATCTGATTTCATTTGGGGTGTTTTGGCACCATCATGATACTCTCATTAAGGCCGTTGATAATTTTTTCAGCATGTACACTTAGGGGTTTTTTTTTTAATTACATGTCACTCTATACACAAACAAGTGTTTTCTGAATTGTTCCCATGAATACCACAATTGTCTGACTTGGAGGTTATCACCTGGACTTCTCTGGCCATGTGAAAATAGAAATAAATATAACCCAGAAGGCTTGTTTGTTTTTCTGAAAGGTCCTCAAGCAGACAAGATTTGCCTTGTGAATTACGTAAAGATCTAAAAATCTGGTTACATGTAGACAGGAAAGAAAAGCCAAGAGGCTGATTCTCTGAATTTCTCGGTCCCAGCTAACTCTGCTGTGCCTCATAAGCAGCTCTGGATGCACACTGCTGAAAATCAGAGCAGAATTTAGCCCAGCATCTACATCCCCTCCAAGGACCAGAATGGCAATAAACATTTTCTGCAGAGAAATCACTACAGAGGCTTCTGGATGTTACTACTGACAGAAGGGTAATTTTTGTTTGTCTTGCTCTCAACCCTGAACACACTCAGAGATACACTGGATAGAAGCCAACACTTGATTATTTTACAGCTTTGAACACAAGAGATTGGGTGGATACTGCCTGACTGATTTCAGCCTGTTCTTATTACAGTGCAAAAGGCTGTCAGAACAAGATGTGAAAACCTCCAGTCTTATCCTATTTCTCTACAGTTCAAGGGGACGTTAAGAATATCAACACTTTAGTTCCTCATAATTCAATCCCCAGTTCATTTTAAGCTTAAAGAGTCCAGATTTCCCTGAAAATAAAATAAACCACCAACTGTCGATAGGAAAAGTGGTGCTTTAAAAAAAATAAAAAAATGCCTTGAAAAAAATATAAAGTATCTCTTTTTAAGACTTGACATTTTATCACAAAGGAAATATAAAAACTTCTCTAGTGGAAATAACTTTACCAAGATCTGAATCGATGATTACAGTAAAATTTTGAAAATAAAAAAAATTATAAAAATTGGGAAAAAAAAGATAAAAACTATCCCTGCACAGTTGAAAATATTTTGTTTAGTATAGTTATAAATGTATTAAATAAGACCATTTTCATCACTTCCCTTTGAAGATTATCTCCTAGACTTCCTTACTTCACTGCTAGGGCATACAATTACACAAAGCTCAAACAACCTCTGTCTTAATTCCATACTATTTGTCCCAGTTTTCCTTCTTCCTTGCTACTCTAGAAAGATTACAGCATATTCAAGAGGAAGAAGGAGCCACAGTATGAATAAAATCAGGACTTTCAGTAATACAGCTAAAGGCAATACAGGACAGCCTGAATTCAGAATGATCAAAATCACCAATTTAACATGTGTTATAAACAGCCATTTTTGTTCTCTTACATATTTGCTACTTGTTCTCTTAAAGAGAGTCTGATATGACTGACTAGGAGCCACTACATTTTGCTGATTTACAATGAAATGTGACTGTACATTAAATTTTGTATTTCTTTTTACTGTCCAGTGTAGTATGTTATATATGCATTAATGCAAGTAACTGTACCACATACCTTCATTCAGATTCTTAAATTTACTTTTTATTTCAGTGGAAAATGGCAGGTGGTAGTCTTCATGATTAAGCACTTTCTCATGGTTCACTTCAAGCTGGTTTTGGTTGGAATTTGGAATTCAACTGAATTGCAAAAAAAGTATTTAAAATTATTTACTATTAAAGCAAACCGAAAGAAAAGCAAATAGAGAAAAAAGTGCACAAAGCACGCTTTTTGTTTAGAATTAATAAATCCATAAAATAAAACAAACCTCACCTAGCACCAAAGAACTGAAAATGAAATTATGGTTTCTGATCTCCAGAAGCTCAGAAGACCTCACATAGGTCTTCAGTGCTCCCAAGTGTGGTGCCATCATATCCACATTTTAGTTCTCAGGTCTTTGGAGTGGAGCTCTGCCTTTGGGAGTCAGATGATGCAGAATAGGTCTCAATTTAACCAGCGTCCTAAAGGAAGAGCTATATATCTTGACCAAATACTAACAGTTGGCACAAGGGTGGGAGTGCAAGTGCCTCTTCTCAGGAGAGGATGGATCCTCTTTTCATGTCTGTATAATACAAACCGTATGTGCCTAATACATTGCAACAGATATAAATGGTGTGTCTGTGGATTTCTAACCTGAGAAACCCATCTCCTGGCTTGAGTTCACCCCCATAGACATAAGATTCAAAAATTTTCAGTCTCACCTACTTTTAACTGAGAAAATGAAAGGAGAGAACAATTTTCTTGGCTTTTTTTATCCTCTCTTGTGTTTCTCAGAACTGAGACACCCAGTCCCTACACCGAATAGAAGAAAACAAAGAAACATTTCTCCTATGGCATGGGACAGGTGAGAGTCCTCAGTTTTCAACACATGGCAGCAAAATGCCCATCAAATGGCTTCTCCAGAGTTTGACTTTCTTTAAAGCTTTGGAAGAAAACCTGTAGCTTTTAAATTAACCTGAACGGTTTTAATATAATGTATTAACTTTAGACCCTCATGAAGCCTCTCATGATTTCAAATCTAGCTTTATTTCTAAAAAGCTACATGTACTTAAATTACAATTTAAAGAAGCAATTTCCTTTCTTCGTTTTCAAAGTTATCATTTGTTTTATGCACCCTGATAGAGGCCTGCCCCAAGGTATGACAAAAATTTCCCTCTGGGAACAAACAGCATGAAAACCATACCAGATGGTGATGACAATCACTGATAGTGAGGATACGTGTTATCCTATTTTTTTTCATATATTCACTTGTTTAATGCATTTTTTTTTATTAAACAATTAACACACAAATATCTTGAAGATAATCAGGCCTTAAGCAGGTGAAGCAGTGCTGCAAGGTGGGCTCCCTTCTGCACCCTCTCCAAATGGGAGCAAAGGGGAACAGCTGAGCTTGGCTGCAGCCCGTGCTGACCTATATTGGTGAGAAAAAGCTGCAGGGAGGGAAAGAAGCAGAGAAGGAATCAAAAGAGATGAAACTGGATCAACTGCTTGTGCCTGGACTGGAAATACTCTCATTAGAGGGAACCAAGGGGAAAAATGTGGGCAACCCACAGCCCTCTCTAAAGTAATTAAACTGCAGGCTGCGGCATTGATAACCTCGAATGCTTCCAAACTGCTTTTCTGCAGATGTCAGTCAGCTCTGACAGTTATTAAGAGTTTTATTGCCACAGGTCTTCTGCCTTGAAACACCCCTTTTCTCTCCCCACAAAGGGTTTACAACAAATTCCCGCCAACCAGGACTTGACTGAGTGCAGGATATGAGTGAATATAGGTTTGTGCCAGTTTAGGGCTGACTTTTCATGGTCTTTCTCTGCTCTGAAGGTAACTTCTGGGTGTTTTCATTACTGTGAGATAGGCACTGATGAATAAAGGACCATCCTAATAGGAAACCCCCACACACTCTTTCAGTTCTTTTTCTTTTGCAAAATGTATTAAAAAAAAAAACAACACATTTTTGTACACTTGGAAAGCTCAGATGATGTATTATAGAGGCAGGAGTACGTTGCTGGTGCTTCAGTTCTGATGTTCTGCAGTAATGTGAAGAAAACGATCAATGCCTTGGCTTTTTAAAATTTTCCACAGGAAACACTGCTACATTATTTTCTTCTTACAGGGCAGCCAAGAGTAGGAGTCTGTGAGATGGCAGTTTTTCAAGTTGTGCTTGACAGTATTTTACTCTCTCTCTCTTTGATTAATTGATTATGGATAAAACAGCTTCTGCAGCAACAAATGGTATAAAGCTCATCACAGAGAATTATAAAAGAAAAGGTGCTCACCTCTTTGCTCTGTCTTTCTCATCTTCATCCATTAGATTGTCTAAGCAGTTTTTTCTGTTGAAGGAATGTGAGAATCATTATGAATTGTCATTTTGTTAGCTCTACTTGCAGGTTAATCTCACAGTCGCTCTATTTCATTTTAATAACAGAGTGATGATATCCAGGTCAGATAAATGTGTCAGCAGTGCTTTATGCCACAGTCCCTGATTTTAGGAAACATCTATTGTGGGTAATGTTATTCCTGAGCATTACGCTAGCCTTAGGGGCTTTAGTCAGGGATCAAGGCTCCCAGGCACCACAGAGTGCATCACACAGCACAAAACCAGCCACTTCTTTGCGATTTTTTCATATGGAGGTAACTCTTTGCAAACCTGTAGGCTGAATGAACCCTGGGGCCTGTCCAAATTGAAAAGGCATTTTCAGTGTTCCCACATTCCCCCCAAAACAATCTCCACTGCAAGAGTCAGCATCACTGACGCCTTTGACTCCCAAGGGAGATCTTCCTATTGGGAGGTTCTTTGTCCTCCTCCTCTGTGGGCCCTTTCCCAAAGCCAAAGGGGATGGTAGTAACTCTACTGAATTACACCCAAAATTCAAAGTCTCCTCATAAATCCCACCAGAATGTGGTGACCTGCGGTCAGTTTTGTAGTCCAATTGCTCCACCAGTTTGAGCTGTAAAGAGAAAGTACTCTGAGCACAAGGTGTGTCCATAAAGCCACAGAGTAAAAAACGGTAAATTAAGTAAATTTGTGTAGGCAAGGCAAAGGGAAAAATATAAGAGTGGTCCTGCTAAAGGCTGAGTGCCTCAGAAACACTTGTCACCAGTACACTGCCCACTCTCCTTTGCTCCAGGGCCTTATAAAAAAAGTGATACTTCAGCTGTAACCACTTCAGGTTGAGAAAGAAGCTCTGTGCTGCTGCAGCCTCTCATGGCACCCATGTTGGGTACAAAAGCCACACGGTGCTGCATCCCACAAAAATATTTTCTGTAACAGCAGCAAAATGCTGGTACAAACCCTGGATATTATCAAAGTGTCATTTTCAAAGCAGCGGTGTAATGACAGGCAATGATAACATTCCTTTTCAGCAATCAATGTTTCTCATTTAATGAGTCCTCAACACGTAAGACATGAATAAAACTGGAGGGGGGAGGAGGGAAGTTAATTGCTTGGCTTTATTTAAGCCCATGTTATTTTCCACATATGAGTCACAGATAAATTTGCCTGTTTAAAGAATATTTTATGAAGAAACAGGAGTGAAAACTTACTGATAGCAAGAACAGTGGATAAATTCCTTCCACTACTAGTTCTCTTAAAGCAGCCTGGTCGTTACTCAAGAGTTAGCTAAGAAACAAAACTACCCTGTAACTTTTTATCAAATGAGTTATGAGGAATTAAAGCTGGGGGTCACTGATTGGAGGATAAAGCTACTACTTCACGGCATTCAGCTCATTGATGGACAAGCATAAAGAGGAAATATGAAGGCCAAAGGACTGGGTTTTTTAGTAATAACTGGCAAATTTAAGTTGCTGAATTCTATTATACAGAACAAAATAACAAATAATATCATGTAGTTTTTAGATTTTTTTTTCAGCTATTTATTTGGACTTGCAAAACAGCCAAGTCAGCCATATCATAATCTATATTTTGGAACAGGAAAATTTATAGGCCCAGCTAAATTTTATTTATCAGTGTTTAACAAATACTTTAGGTGCTTATTTGTTCAGTTCCGTAATGACTGCTATCCCAACAAGTGTGTTTTCAACTAATTGAGGCTAAAATGTAGCGACAATATTCAGTTTTGTTGTTATTTGATCGCTTATTGCAACTGAAATGTTCACACATGCTATTCAAGAATACAGAAGGCATTGCTAATACGGTAAGGGTTAGCATTTAGGATTTTGCAGTCTTTCATTGCTAAACCTTCACTCAAAATCATAGAATGTTACGGTCCCTTCTTTAAAGGAAGGGACCTTAAAGATCCCCTAGTTCCAACGGGGTGGGGGGGTACACCTCCCACTAGACCAGGTTGCTCAAGGCCTTACCAATCTGGCCTTGAATACTGCCAGGGCTGGGGCATCCACAACCTCCCTGGGCAACCTGTTTCTGTGCCTCACCACCCTCACAGCACAGCACAAAATGCCCTGTAGCATGCACCCCTATTGAATCTAGGGTATTACAAGCAAAATGGGCAGTGCCAGCAAAAGAAGTTGCTCTCCCTGAATCCCTAAAGGTCTTCCTCTGCTGCACTGCGGCCTCCTCTGGTTTCCCAACAGAAAGCAGAAATAGGGGGACAAGAGCCCTGAGTGGCTGTGAGGAAGGATGGGAAGGGGTGAGGCAGTCAGCATCAGTGTTGCTCAGGTCCAGCTGTTAAGGAGAAGCACAATGTACCTAATGGAAAGGGTCTTCCTACAGCTGTACCCTGTAAACCATCAAGAAATTACACTGCCAGGAAGCCTCTTCTCTTGAGAGAGAGCAACAGATCTAAGTGGTCTGTTTTGCCAAGGATATGGCTATATCTGTAAAGCAACTCATGGCCAGCTTCCATTAAACAAGGTTTCTCACTGACTGACATGAAATTCTGGACCTGCTGTGCTGTTGCTAGTGTGAGACAATTTCTAATTGTCATTTTGCTTCTGTTTGCTCACATGGCAAAATTTCAAGAGCATCATAAGCATTGCTAACAGGGTTTGCCAGTACATATGTACCATACGAGATTAAAACTGTTCTCAATAAAATAGATACATCAGAGTACACTAGTGTTGCGAACTGATATTGCCATCCCTCTCCTGAGCCACACCAGAAGCTGGCTTACACCTTGATGGAGAAACCCATGGCATAGAGCTTAAATACGTGCTTAGTGGAACCTGCTTGCTTTATGTTATCCTCCTAGTCCCTCAGCTGGGAAGGTCCCTAATTGCAAACCAGAAATCTACTGTCTCATCCCTGTCAGTGCCTGGTTTAGGAGGAAATTCCAGCTCACGGCAATGATGGAGGCAGGCAGTAAACACTATGGCTCTGTGCCATAGCTCCCCTTCAGAGAGGTGACATAAAAAAAAAAGTGGCCTAAGAATTTCTCAAAATTTGAAGAATCCTTTCATGCTAACAAAGACAATTTGTAAACCTATGGGTAACAACATCACATGACGCAACTCCTGCTGACAGAGTATTTAACAGTGACAGTTATATTGGAGCTTCACTGTAACATCGTTATCATCAAGGAGTGACGATAGCTCAAAAAGATGGAAACCACACGGAAAAAGGAGGAGAAAGCTCACATACTCCCATCAGGGGTGTACTCAGACAAACATACAGAAAGATGCATACCTACAAGTGGGGAAGAGTGGCATTCTGGAAACAAAAGACTGGCTAAAACTGTTAACCATGTACCCCTGGCTTAGTTATTAGAAGGAGAATTATAGCACAAACATCCCCACCACATTCATACAACGAATAGTTGCTTGGGAAAGAAGTAGTTCAGGTAGAGCACCAGCCTGCTTCAGAAGAAAGGTTGCACATGTTTGATACAGTCTATTCCCAGTGGACACGGGGCTTGCACTATAAAAATTCATCTAGCACTGATCACCTTATCCTGTGCTAGAAACATTTATTTTAGTGAGCTAAACTACTACTCTTCTGTGCTGGTGAGGTTGGTTTCTCTCCTTTCTGTCCTACTGCTCATAAGGACATGCTATACACATTCAAATGTAAGTAATCAGCTGTTGATTTCCCACTAACTTGCCACAAGGCCAACTAATAGTTCCTACAAATCAACCTGATATTTAATGAGAATTTTTAATCACAGTTGTTTAACTCAGTTGAATTAAATCAGAGATGTAAACTTCTCTCAGAGGTCCTGGGATGTGCCTGGGGAAGCCCGGTGAGAAATCACAATGCTTGTGCTCCTCTGGCCCTTATGCCAGGCAGCCCAAACAAAAAAATAGGCTTTTTGTCCCCTTTCCTCTCTGGTAGGGTGGGGTGTTTGCCTCCACCACACCATCAGCCTGCTTGGGTATTCAACCACTTGTCCTGTACAGGGTATGCTCAGCCCTGGGGAGAGGGGGGGTTCCCACCATACCCTGCTGCTGCTTCCCACCCACTACAGATGTACCTGAGCTTTAGACCTTAGGCCTCACCCTTAGACCACTTAGGATGCTGGTACAATACAACCATCCTAAGTGAAGACGATAATACTGCTCTTGGAGAACAACCCTCTCAAATACAGAGGATGGGCAAGGGTTGTGTGGAAAACTGGACGAAAAACTGGAATGAAACATCTTGAATTACCTTCTGACCTTCGCAACAACTGTCGCCCTTGTAAAAGCTGAAGGAAAAGAACAACAGAGTGTAGGGTAGACATGTACCTTCCAGACACATTGCTCAGCCGCCAGGGCCCATCTCTGCTCAGTGTTGCTTCTGTGCTGCATCAACAGGGAGCTACTCCTGTCCCCTCTTCGAAGGCAAGGAATAAGGCCAGCGAAGAGCTCAGCATTATGAAGGAGACACATGGGTATGTTTGGTGGGGTTCAGGAGTTAAAGGCCAGATGCAACCATGCATGGCATCCTGTGTATAGCGAATAGTTCCAAGACATAGTAAGAAGGCACCAAAAGGGAGTACAGTCTCTGGACATGAGCCAGGGCACAGTTTCTGGACACACAGTAGCATAGGGGACAGCGTGGCTTGGTCACTGTGCTGGCTCCACTGCCAGGTCCCCAGCCTGGCACGATGAACAAGGTCTGATAGGCACTGTGGTTGGTCAGTGGTGGTGTCCCATGGGTGTTCATGCTGGGAAGCACCTCTGTGGATAGCAGCTCTACCTGCTTTGTCTCAGCTAAGCAGAGCTCTGAAATGAACCATGCCAGCAAGTAAAGTATTTCCCTTCCAAGCCTTGTTGGGAGGCAAAGAGAAAGATTAGCAAATGGGAAGCTGCAGGAAAGGTCATATGGTGACAGGCAAGAAGTGACCAGCTGACCATTTTAAATGCCTTGTTCCAAGTTTCTGTGATGTGGATGAAGCACTTGGATATCCCACCATGAAGGCTATGGCATGAACAC